TTTTTTTTTTTTTTTTAATTTTCAGCATAACAGTAATCATTGTTTTTGTACCACACCCAGTGCTCCATGCAATCTGTGCCCTCTCTAATACCCACCACCTGGTTCCCCCAACCTCCTACCCCCCCACCTCTTCAAACCCTTCAGATTGTTTTTCAGAGTCCATAGTCTCTCATTGTTCACCTCCCCTTCCAATTTCCCCCAACTCCCTTCTCCTAACTCCCCATGTCCTCCATGCTATTTGTTATGCTCCACAAATAAGTGAAACCATATGATAATTGACTCTCTCTGCTTGACTTATTTCACTCAGCATAATCTCTTCCAGTCCCATCCATGTTGCTACAAAAGTTGGGTATTCATCCTTTCTGATGGAGGCATAATACTCCATAGTGTATATGGACCACATCTTCCTTATCCATTTGTCCATTGAAGGGCATCTTGGTTTGGCGACCATGGCCATTGCTGCTATAAACATTGGGGTACAGATGGCCCTTCTTTTCACTACATCTGTATCTTTGGGGTAAATACCCAGTAGTGCAATTGCAGGGTCATAGGGAAGTTTTATTTTTAATTTTTTGAGGAATCTCCACACTGTTCTCCAAAGAGGCTGCACCAACTTGCATTCCCACCAACAGTGTGAGAGGGTTCCCCTTTCTCCACATCCCCTCCAAAACATGTTGTTTCCTGTCTTGCTAATTTTGGCCATTCTAACTGGTGTAAGGTGATATCTCAATGTGGTTTTAATTTGAATCTCACTGATGGCTAGTGATGATGAACATTTTTTCATGTGTCTGATAGCCATTTGTATGTCTTCATTGGAGAAGTGTCTGTTCATGTCTTCTGCCCATTTTTTGATATGATTATCTCTTTTGTGTGTGTTGAGTTTGAGGAGTTCTTTATAGATCCTGGATATCAATCTTTTGTCTGTACTGTCATTTGCAAATATCTTCTCCCATTCCGTGGGTTGCCATTTTGTTTTCTTGACTGTTTCCTTTGCTGTGCAGAAGCTTTTGATTTTAATGAAGTCCCAAAAGTTTATTTTGGCTTTTGTTTCCTTTGCCTTTGGAGACATATCTTGAAAGAAGTTGCTGTGGCTGATATCGAAGAGATTACTGCCTATGTTCTCCTCTAGGATTCTGATGGATTCCTGTCTCATGTTGAGGTCTTTTATCCATTTTGAGTTTATCTTTGTGTACGGTGTAAGAGAATGGTCAAGTTTCATTCTTCTACATATAGCTGCCCAGTTTTCCCAGCCTTATCTTTTATCTTTGTAGTCTGTTATAATGAGGTGATGACTGAGTTTCTTAATAAAAGAAAATACTAAAATAACAAAGAGTTGTAGATAATAAGCCAACAGAGGAGATGTTCCGGAAAGCACTATGGGATTTAAAATTGAATCAAGAAGATTTAAATTTTAACGAGTGTGGTTTCAATGATGGAGTGCAGGGTTAATAATATGGAGGGGACACTGGAATGAATCAAAAGGCTTAGGGTACAGTATTATTAGCATATCCACTAAATACTGTGTGACTCCGAGCAGTCTTATGATTGAACTTTAATATCTCCATCTGTCATAACTAAATAAACTAGTATTTAATTGGGCAATTCTGTTGTACTAGGTACATTGTTGGTTAGTGTACTTCTGTTTCTTCGTTTAATCCTCATATTAACCTTAATAAAGTAAGTAGAACCTGTATTTTACAGATGAGGAAACTAAGGTTCCATAATGTTAAGTAATACTCAACATGTTGAGCAACTAAGTATTAAAGTACAATTTGTGTTATATTTCTGTATTTCTCTAAAATTGTGAAGTTTCTTCTGTTTCTACTTATAAAAAACACTAAATTTTTAAACCATGCACCATGGTATAATGATAAGATGGCAAATTTCCAGATGTATTAGGTTTGGCTCTCTCAGTTTTGTTCTTGTTAGTTTTCTTACCTGCAATGTACTTTATGAAAATCTTACCTAGTTGCCAGCACCTGATTCACCAGTGATTAACTCAAGTCTGCAGTGAAGTTTTCTTCCTCTGAGATATTAAAGCATTTATTATCTATTTCTCACTTATTAGTTACATATTTGAGATATATACTTACCAGCTTTATATTTGAAATTTGGGATTACTATTGAATTGTTTAAATTTCTATGTATTCATGTATTACTGATACACATCTATTACTGAGACGGGTACACGTAAGTTCCTTCCGGGAACTTCTCTATAGCATTGTACATGTGGTACATATATCTTCATAAGTAATTGTGACTTAATTCTGTCAACTAGACTAGTTAATCATCATTCTCAGGTATTCACTTCTCACAAGCAAATTTACCTGTAAGATACTTTAAAATTTTAAATTTTATAGCTTTACAGAGCACAGATTATTAAAGCTTTTTAGAGAAATGCTTTCCAAAAGAAACTTTTTTTGCCAAAAATTTTGAAAGGAGTTCAATCAAAATCAAGATGAGTTGATTAAAGTAAGCATGTAGGCTTATTGTATTTGGCAAGGAGACCAGTTACTTTGCCCCATAGCTGATTTTTTTTAGAGTTCTGAAAGCTGGTGTTCTCTCTGCTTGTGCCTCGCCACCCCCTGCCCCCATCAAAGAGATCAAAATGTTTGAGCAATATTTAGAAGATCTGGGTGGTCTCTAGTACTACTACTATTACTACTACTACTACTTACTCAAAAGTTAATTAACATTTCTGGGCTTCAGTTTTCTCATTCTTAAAAAAAAAAAAAAAAAACTGAGTTGGATTATTTGATCTTTAAATATACTCTGTTCCAGCATTTATAAAACCTACACGTTTAAGATAATTATGTTTCAGAATTGTAAAGTAGCATTTGATTCTTAAACTTCAAAATAGTAGTAGTTTAATGTTAATTGCTTTTTTCTTTAAAAGCATTTGTGATCTCCTGTTCCACTTTTATGGTTAATTTTCCTTTTTGACTTACCAGTACTCCCTCACGTGTTGCTAAAGGAGTTGTTGACCACACCAAAATGAGTCTACATGGTGCTAGCGGGGGACATGAACGATCAAGAGATAGACGAAGATCAAGTGACAGATCACGAGATTCATCTCACGAAAGAACAGAATCTCAACTCACTCCTTGTATTAGAAATGTTACTTCTCCAACACGACAACACCATGTTGGTACGTAAAATTAACTCATCTTCCTGACAGTTTTTAAAAGCATGCAGTTACCTTTTTAAAACAGTAATGACTGTGAATTCTGCCTAGTACTTGAGAGTAAAATTAACTTCTTAGTTCTATTCAGTTGCTATTTTAGCTTAGCTTCATTCTTGCTATAAGAAATCAGCTTATTAAATGAAACTTAAAAGTGATTTTTTTTTGAGTCTGGGACAGTTTCATAAAAAGAAATTTGAAAAGCCTTTAAAACTGTGATATGAGATAATTTGTTTAATTTTTAAAAATATTTGAGAGAGAGCGAGAGCATGCAGGAGTAGGGGGAGGAAGGGAGTGGCAGAGGGAGAGGGAGAAGCAGGCTCCCCACTGAGCAAATGCCCTGGGGCTAGATCCCAGGAGCCAGGGATCCTGACCTGAGCCTAAGGCAGACATTTAACCGACTGAGTCACCCAGGTGCCCCGAAGTCTTTCAAATTGATTTTTATCTTATGTGATACATAAAAAGTGGTTTATTTTTAAAAAATTTGTAGTAAACTGTTGATAGGAATTCTTGGTTAATCATGCTAGAAAAGGAAGTGAAAGCTAGAATAACCATGTAGTAATTTATTTTAAGTTTTGACAGTATTTTAAATTTAACTTAAAAAATAGATGGTGAAAGGGAAGGTGTGAAGTGTTTTGTTTTGTTTTTTTCTTGGCAAGTAGCTCATGTATTTTTTTCCCTTCCTACTCATTACTGTAAATGAACATTATTATATTTCAGGTAAATAAATTGTGTGACTGAGAAGTACATTAGCAATGTGAACTTGTTGATTTTCATTTTCCCTTGGAGAAGGGGCAAATCTAATACCTTCCCATTGTTTTTGATTGTTACAAATCAAAATCATTTATCTTAGGGCTTAATTATACAGAGAGGTTGTCAGTATCTAAGTAGGTCCTCAAAGTCAAACTAGTACTGATAAGCCAAAAATCCATGCAAGTATAAATAGGAGTTGACAGTTCATTAATATGCTAAATTCAATCCCTGGGAAGAGAATAGGAAGATATAATAAATGATTTTTATTAATTGAGCAAATTTTGGTTTGGGGATGCCACTAGCATTCTGGAAACGGGCAATAAAATGGAGGTGTCAGAATATCTCTGGAGATAAAGCAAACCGAATTATATCATCAGTAAAGCTGTACAGAATGTTCTGAGTACCCTGAGTCATGGAGGAATTTGGCAGAAGCTGATGAATCTGATGAGATGGAGGTACATTTTTAGGTCACCTTTTAAAGTGTAGTTCTGTCCTCTAAAGGGAACTTATCACAGAATCTTAGTTTTAATTTTCCCTTTATAGAATATTGGAACAGCTGAAGAAAATCTTCTGAATTTTAACAATATTTCCTACCTAATTAAAATTATGGATAGTAATTATATGATCCTTTAGAATTTGTGGCAGTGCTTTTATTCCAACAAAAGTGAGACTGAAAAAAAAAGCAATGTATCATAAGCTATTGAAGCCATTTTATTTGGTTGGTAGACATTAAAAGTCATTTGAAAGAATTAATACTTTTGTGTCCTTAGTGACCTTTTTTCTTCCTTTGGGGCCTTGCTTTTGTGAGATAAATTACTACTTTGGGGATGGCCTAATTAATATAGTGAGAGTCCAAAGTTTGTACTTAGTGTTCTCAGAGTAGTACTAATACTTTTAGTATTTAGGACAGTTAAAGTTGGTATTTTCTAAAATTAATCTTTTACTTCCTGTCAGTGCTTATTTGACTTGTAAACTTGTAAGACTATTCTATTCCTTGGGTTTCATGTATTTTTAAATAGCATACTAGCATGAAATTTACCTTAATTTTGATCTTAGTCTGAGTGAGCATTAGTCAGCTATACATCTTTTTAAAAAATCTACAAAAATTAATTTAGAAAACATTTTGATGTTTGAGGTTTTATTCCTGGGAAGTAGTATTTATGGTGTTCTGTGAAAATGTTACTTGAAATCAAAAAGCAGAAATGCTTTGATTGATTGATTTTATTTTATTTTATTTTTTGAGAGAGAGTGCGTGCATGCACAAGTGGCGGTGGGGGGTGGAGGGCAGAGGGAGAGAGAGAAGCAGACTCTGTGCTGAGCAGAGTCCAATGTGGCAGGACACTGAGATCATGACCTGAGCCGAAGGTAGACACTTAACCAACTGAGCTGCCTAGGCCCCCAGAAATGTGATTTAAAACAACTTTTCTACATCAGAATTTTTAAAAGATAAATGTGGATCTTGAATTTTTTTTAAAGGAAAATTTGCATAACTTTAACATCTTTATTTCAGAACGAGAAAAAGATCATAGTTCTTCTCGTCCAAGTAGTCCTCGTCCTCAAAAGGCATCTCCAAATGGTTCCAGTAGCAGTGCTGGGAACAGCAGCAGAAACAGTAGTCAGTCAAGTTCGGATGGTAGCTGTAAGACATCTGGGGAGATGGTGTTTGTATATGAAAATGCAAAAGAAGGAGCTCGGAATGTGAGAACATCGGAACGAGTAACGCTAATAGTGGATAACACTAGATTTGTTGTAGACCCATCCATTTTTACTGCACAGCCAAATACAATGTTGGGCAGGTTTGTGTTATTGCAGTTCTTTGTATTATTATAAAGCACTTTCACGTTATTTAAGTTTTACAGTAATTCCCTGTTGGAATGTAGTATTCCTGTCCTATAGATGAACTGAACTTTGGAAGTTAAATATAATGTGCTCAAGTTAGTATAGCCAGAAAATGGTAGAGCCAGATCTTGAACTTGGTTTTATTTCTAACAATTTTTGTTATATCAGCAAGAAAAAAAAAATTATTTAATGAAGACAGGGTCCTAAACAATCTCCACTGGTTAAAGCCTTAAATTCTATCTAACAAGGTGAGTATAACAGTAATATATGCTTTTTTCACTTGGGGGAATCCCAAATTCAACCACCAAATACAGCAGGTATCAGCATTTTGTTTAAAGAGGAAAAAAAAAAACAGTTTGGTTAGCTGAAAAGTCAGCATGTATTGCCAGATTAAAAAAAAAAAAAAAGGGAAGGTATTAACAAGTAGTTAGAATGAAGGAAAGATACTTGTAGTTGTATTCTAATCTGTGTAGGTCTAGAGTAAAGGTCAATGTGAAGTTTGTAGTTGTGGGAACTGTGGTCTTAAGAATGATATAGACAATATAGACTTGATTTTTCATTGTGTGCAAAATGAGCAAATACCTTTATTTTTTTTCATTTTTTTTCAAGTATCTTTTCGTTGTAAAATTAGTATCTTTTCCTGTTCTAATATAAAGTGAAGGAGCATAGAAATGAAATAGAAATTTATATGGTGTAAAAAACTTGTGTTTTTTTCCTAGGTTGTATATGAGTAACTATTTAGGATGCCTTTGTGTGTGGACATGTGATTTCTCCTCTGAATACAGAATAAAAGCTAACATGACATTGCACATTTTGAATAATTGAATATTCTTTTTAACATTGGCATTTAGACTTTACATATCGGAGGCAAAGAAAACAAGTATGGCTTTTATGTATTTTTAGTAGCACAGAGGAAGATTATTGAGGGAAGGTGTCAGGAGGATGACTCGACACTATTAATACTTTTTTTTTTTTTTGAAGATTTTATGTATTTATTTGAGAGAAAGAATGAGAGAGAGAGAATGAGAGGGGAGAGAGTCAGAGGGAGAAGCAGACTGCCCACAGAGCAGGGAGCCTGATGCAGGACTCGATCCTGGGACTCCAGGATCATGACCTGAGTGAAGGCAGTTGCTTAACCAACTGAGCCACCCAGGCACCTGACACTATTAATACTTTTAATTTTTACACAAATTTTAAAGAAACACTCTTAAAAAGTAGATATTTGAAATTTTGTTTCCTTTGTTAGGCTACCTTTTCTTTAAAAGCAAAACAAAACAAAGTCCAAAATATTTCTGTGTGTGTATCCATATTGAACTGAGAAGCATAACATTCTCCTTTTGTTAAAAAAAAAAATTTCAAGTATTTGAGAAAGTTGCATGACATTTGATTCCTGAAAGACTGTCGTTGCCTTTTTTTTTTTAAACAAAATGAAGTCATCTTTTTCATGCTAGTTGAGTAAAGCATATCTTTGGGGATGAAAATTCATATTCATGGGTACTGTAAAAAGCAGTTGGCATTCTTTTGGAAACTTCAAAATAAAAAAGCTTTGTTCTTTATAGATTTCTGTGTTAAAACAAAAGAAGAAACCATTTAAATTGGGAAATTGTTGAGTCCAATACTTAAGAATGATGGTATCATTTAATTTGGAGGTCCAGCTTCCTTTAACCACAGTTTTAAAATTTTCTTGGGAGTAATGCATTAAACTTTTGATTTTGAAGAACATACTCTGCACATTTGCTCTTTTCAAAAAACATTTCATAGTTACTATGAAAGGGCCAAGAACATTACTTGAAAAAATAGAAATCTGTATTTCCTTTTTTTTTTTTTTAAGATTTTATTTATTTATTTGACAGAGATCACAAGTAGGCAGAGAGGTAGGCAGAGAGAGAGAAGGGGAAGCAGGCTCCCTGCTGAGCACAGAACCAGATGTGGGGCTCGATCCCAGGACCCTTGAGATCATGATCTGAGCCGAAAGCAGAGGCTTAACCCACTGAGCCACCCAGGCACCCCAGAAATCTGTATTTTCTTATGTAAAAATTAGTATTAAGAGCATTTTACTCATTTGTTTAAACTTTTGATTCACTGCTTAGCTTCCTCATTCATTTTTACCCGAGCATTTGATTGCTAATTTTTCAGTTCTGGGATACAAGTGTAAGAATTTTGAGTGATGTTTCTTATATTTATGTTAGAGTCATGAAAAGTGAAACAACCTAACGTGCCTGTTTCCTACTTTACTGTATGTGCTGCATTATAGCATTAACTTTGCAGTGAGGGCAGCAGTTTTAAGGAAGAGGTACAGATAACATGGTTTCCCTTTTCCATTCCCCCCCCTTTCTGGTAAGATTAGTATAAAAATCGCCTTTTCCCCTAGATTGATTGATTGATTTTTTTTTTCTCTCTCCCTGAGAAGAAGGAGCTGAAAAGTTCTTTAGCTTCTGAGTTTTATCAGCTGATTTTGTTTGCTTATAGGGAATCTATACTACTATTCCCTCCCATCAGAAAGGTAGTATTTTTAATAATCCTTCATTTATTACTTTTGTCAGAATAAATTGCTAAGAATTTTTTAACTAATTTGTGAATAAATTATTCCTTTTTACTTTTGTACGTGAAATAAATTTTCCCTTTGAAGGCAGTATCCTATTGTTATATTTCTCATTATTTACCAATATCATAGGATGTTTGGTTCTGGCAGAGAACATAACTTTACACGTCCCAATGAGAAGGGAGAGTATGAAGTGGCAGAAGGAATTGGCTCCACAGTGTTTCGAGCTATTCTGGTGAGTGCTCATTTCTTATGTCTTGACTTAATCATAGAACTCCCTTTTGGTAGGTATTTGTATTAGAAGCAGAGTTCTATTTGGATATCTCTATGCAGAATATTGTTTTTTAAAAAATACCATTTTATTCATTTTTATTTTAGTACATAAAGATAGTATGATACAAATATAGTTCGGGGGATGTGACATCTCTTAAGTATAAACAGGTGGTTCTTTCAAAGGGTTTAGTGGTAATCCATCTGGAGTCATGTTATTCCTTCCTCCCTCATTCTCTTAAATACAATAAGTTGATCATTTTTGCTATCTGAGATAAATGTGATTACTTGAATTCTAATATTTTATTGCCTATAACTGGCAATGTGGACAGTTAACATATAAAAGTCATCTAAAATATAATAGCATTTTTGTTTTAAACCTTTTTTTTTGAGGTTTTAACCTTTTATTTTGAGGAATATTTGAATTGGTATTACAGAGTTCCTCCTTGTAATTTCAAATCAGTGATAAAGCTTTGATTTATAGTTTGTGACTATGCCACAGTCTGAAAATATGGTTTCCTCAGATAATTTTGGGGAAAATGGGCAGGGAGGATCATGGGGTAAAAGGAATGGAAGTTGATCTTGATTAGGTTGTTAGTACTGGGGCAAGTACCAAAAGACATCTTGCTTGCACTAGTATAGCAACTTGATTGTGTTATTGTGGCTCTGAACCTCAAGAAGCTTAAGGCAGATCTTAATTTGTGGGGGAGAGGGGAGTGCTTTAGCTGGCCCTACTTCATTTAACCCCCGATGGAGTTGCTGAATAAAAAAAAAAAAACAAAAACTTATGACTCAGCTGTAATTTGGGGGCTAGCCCTTAACAATTTTTAAAGTAGATCTTGGAAATAAGTACTATTTATTGTTCATAATTTGGGACACATCAAAAAATAGTATTTGGAAGAAGAATATGTAATTGTGCGTTCTGTTTACATATATTAATACCTGGAATATGACTTTGAAGTTCTTTACTAAGAACCACAAATTTTGCTCAATTCTGTAAATAATATTTAAGGTACCTTAAAATATATCACTTAACTTAATTTTTTAAAAAAAAGTTTTAAAATTTGATGGTAGTTATATAGAAAAATAACTTATAGAGTGGAAAATACATATGAATTGGCATGCTACAATAGAGAGAAGAAACATATCAGTATCAGGAGACCTGGCTTTCCTCTGCTAATAAATAATTGTTTGACTAGGTGAGTCAACGAACCCATTTGGGCCAACGTTTTCTTATTGGTAAAATGAAAAAGTGGTTAGGTGAACAGAGGTCCCATCTAACTTTAAAATTCCACAGTTCAGAAAAATCAGAGCTCCACTGTTTTCGAAAATGCTAGCAGCTTCACCTTAATAGTAAGGTTTTGGCTACCTTATGCTGTAGATGTTTTATGCATTCTTTACTTTTTTTTTTTTTTTTTAGGATTACTACAAAACAGGAATAATTCGTTGTCCTGATGGCATATCTATTCCTGAACTGAGAGAAGCATGCGACTACCTTTGTATTTCTTTTGAATATAGTACTATTAAATGTAGAGATCTCAGTAAGTATGATGTTTTGTGTGTGAGTGGTTTGTAGAGTTACAATATATTGGAATGAAAAGTCTGAAAGAGTGCTGTTCATGTGAACATCAGATATTTGTTTAATTGGATTATAAAGCACTGTGATACTATAAGGATGCTTCATGGAAGTCTACAGAGATTTTTATAACCAATTCAATTTTCCAAAACTTCAAAAAAAATTTTATATGTATATGTTTGTATGTATATGTGTATATTTATTTTTGATAGACTCTCCTAGATTTCCTCCTTGACCTCATCTCTGTCATTTGTTGCCAGTCTTTATCTCCCAGCTTGGGAGCCCTGGCTTTGGTCAAGTATGGTATTTGGCTTCACTCCTGAGATCACATCAACCAAAAATTTATAAATTTTTTCTACTTTCACATAAGATAATATCCTAAGCCACTGTGGAAGATAACTCTCAAAGAGAATATTTGTCATTAAAGATCTTAGATTAAATACCTAACCCTCATTTATCCAGAGGGTTAAGTGACTTTGTCTTAAGAACATCAGACAGCCTCAGAGCAGAGTCTAGAACTTTGGAAATCCCAAGTTTTTGATCAGTGTTTTCCCCTTACCACCACCCCAGCACTCCTCCCTCTCACCATTTGCCATACCTCCTGAGGGGAAGAAAAAAGGTGATTATACACAGAAAAGTCAGAATAAGAGAATTTTCAGATGTTGACTTAGATGCTGAGTGGTTGGAGAAGTTCAGAAGGAGAGGTCATTATGTGCTAGAGGGATTGGGAAAGAGTTCAGCGGAGGCAGGTAGTAAAGAATAAATTGGAATGATTAGAAAGAATAGAGTAAGGAGGTAGTTTAACAGCTGAGATTTTTGGACTAAAGATGCAAAAAACATATTTTGGAAAGAACCTAGTTGGGACAGAGACTTTATAGCAGGACCAGCAGGAGATGAGAATAAATAGATGGGCCACATTGTAGAAGGTCTTTGATCCAAACTCATGTTCTTACATTTTATCCTATATATGGTGGAAAGTCATTTCAAAAGCTTCCTATATGTGGTTATAGCCTTATGTTAATAAGTCTATAGACTTATGGTTATCTTTACTTCATTAACCTAAACTCACCAGTAGCTTGCCATACCTTCTCAAAGATTGGTGTGTTAGAAACTATGAATGTAAAATGTTAAATAATTTTTTAGAAGATTTTATTTATTTGAGAGAGAGAGCACAAGCAGGAGGAGCAGCAAAGGGAGAGGGAGAAGCAGGCTTCCTGCTGAGCAGGGAGCCTGATGTAGGGCTCTATCCCAGGACTCTGGGATCATGACTTGAGTTGAAGGCAGACACTTAACTGCTGAGCCACCCAGGTGCACTGTGAATGGGAAATATCATTTCATATTTTAAGGCACCTAGTGTATACTTAAAGATAGGTGTTCTCTTCATGCTTATTTAAGAACTAACTCATTGAAATTGTGTGGTCTTACTAAGTCCTCCCCTAAGTACCATTTTATTATTGCCAAACATTCTTTAAAATCTTCATAAAAATATCAGTAGGTAGGATAAAGTGGCTGGTCCACCTCTGAGTCCATTTCTCTATAAATGATATTTAAAAGTTTAAAGTCGGGGCGCCTGGGTGGCTCAGTGGGTTAAAGCCTCTGCCTTCGGCTCAGGTCATGGTCCCAGGGTCCTGGGATCGAGCCCCACATCAGGCTCTCTGCTCGGTGGGGAGCCTGCTTCCTCCTCTCTCTGCCTATTTCCTCTGCCTATTTGTGATCTCTGTCTGTCAAATAAATAAGAATCTTTAAAAAAAAATGATATTTAAAAGTTTAAAGTCGGGGCGCCTGGGTGGCTCAGTGGGTTAAAGCCTCTGCCTTCAGCTCAGGTCATGATCCCAGGGTCCTGGGATCGAGCCCTGCATCGGGCTGTCTGCTCCGCGGGCAGCCTGCTTCCTCTTCTCTCTCTCTCTGCCTGCCTCTCTGCCTACTTGTGATCTCTGTCTATAAATAAATAAATAAATAAATAATAAAAAATAAATAAAAGAAGATTAATACCTACTCTTCTCAAACTATAAAAAAAGTTTAAAGTCAAATAGGTAGAGCATACATATGTAAATTCGAACAAAGTTTGTTTTTTCACATCTTAAAAAATGTTTTTACTAAACCATGAGCATTAATTATTCTAATTTAGATCCTCAAGATCTAAAGTTTTGTGTTTTTTTTTTAATTCATAGGGGCATTTTAATTTTAATTCTTAAAATTAAATATTAAATTTTGGGGACTATCAGATAAAAAATATGTGGATTTGATTTTATAATCCTTTGGGCATAGACTCTGTCATCACTGTTAAGTCTCATTTATTTGTTATGGAATTAAAGGTAAAAGTCTTTATTTAAAATATGTATAATAATGTTTTTTCTAGATTTTGGCTTTTAAATAATTATAACTTCCAGAATACTTGTAATACATATTTTTAAAAATAGAATTCTCATAGACTTTATTAAAATAAAACTATGTAGAATTTGAAGAGACAAAAATGTCCTTGTAAAAATATAATAGGATACTGTAGGTGTAGACTTGAGTCCAAATCTGAATTGTTTCCTGTTCATATGTGCCTTTACTGAATACTAGAATGGCACATTACACTAAGATGTCTGTTTGTGTCTTAAAATTATACAAAGGACTATCTATACCTTTTCAACTTTGTGTCCATAGTGCTTGCCTGCCACATAGTAAGGACTCAATAAACATTTGCTAAATGAATAAATTATTTTATCCCCCATGCATTTTTTTAGGACCCCATTCTAATTATTCTCATCTTCTCTGTATCATTAGTCTTTTCCTCTGTATATAGTAATCCTTAGCCTCAGACTCAAATCTAACCTATGTCTATTGTAGATATTAAAGAAAATTATATAAAATATTTTAAGGTTTTCATTGGAATTCTTTGAAGTTAATGTTTTAGAAAAATTAACATTTTTACTGTCTCCTCCAACTGCTGTCTTTCCGTTTACTAAGTTTTCTTTTATGTCTTTAATTTCTTCTGATTTTGTTTATTTTTTGATACTTTGTATTTTTTTTGTTGTATGTAGAGTATATTTAAATTTTCTAACTGCTAACATAAGAAAATTATTGAATTTTACATATTTGTATGAGCTACCTAATAGAAACTCTATTTCTAATAGTTTTTCAGTTGGTTCTCACATATTCTTGGTGGATAATTGGCTCTGTTGTAAATAACACTTTATATTTTTTTGTGTGTCTTAGTGCATTGGCTAGAATATTTTGAACAGTGTTTAAAAATTTAGTGGTAATGCTGGTATCCCTGTCTTTGAAGGCATTTTCTTTAGATGTCACTGTTAAGTCACTCCTTTCTTCTTGACTCTTTCTTACTTTAGCTCCTTGACATCCTTCTTTTAGGCCTTCTGTTTATCTTTCTCTCACTTGCTCCCTGATCCTTGATCTCTTGAATAAGCTCATTCCCAAGTGTTCTGTGTTAAGCTCCCTTCTCTCTCACAGAACCTATACACTTATTCTAAGTGATGTCATTCATCGTTATGGCTTCAAACACTCCCATACCCTGTGGATTTCCAATACTTTATCTCTAATACTTTTTTTTTTTTTAAGATTTTTTAAATTTATTTGACAGAGACACAGTGAGAGAGGGAACACAAGCAGGGGAAGTGGGAGAGGGAGAAGCAGGCTTCCTGCTGAGCAGGGAGCCCGATGTGGGGCTCGATCCTGGGACCTTGGGATCATGACCCGAGCCAAAGGCAGCCGCTTAACTGCTGAGCCACTCAGGTGCCCCACTTTATCTCTAATTCTTAAGTATCAGCTAGGTGTTTCTAGTTTACCATTTAACTTATAATCCTACCGCCTCTTACTCAGGCTTTTTGTGAGTTCCATGAATATAGTAAATATAATGATGAACAAGACAGACCTTGTCCCTGCCTTTATGAAGTTTACAGTCTAGTGGGGAAGTAATGAACAGTAATGAAAAGTAATGACAAGCTGTGAACAACAACTTGACAGGTAATGAAAAGCTGTGAAAAATGTGGTGAAGATATGAGATGCTATGAGAAGTGTATGGTAAAGGGGCTGTGGAAAGTCATTATCTAAGTGACATTAAAGCCGAGACCTAAAGGAATGGCAAGTGGATAAGATGCTGATTATACCAGGCAGCAGAAAAGGTATTCGCAGAGGTTGTCAGGTTGGAAGGAATATGACATGCTTAAGGAACTGAAAGAAGAGGGAAGTATGGCTAGAGTGGAGGGATGGAGTGTGAGTGGTAAGAAGTAAGTCCAGAGAAGTAGGGAGAAAGCAAAATTTATTAACTGAATAAATATCTGATGACTGTTAATTCTCTACCAGTCTATTCTAAGTTTTGGGGATGCAGCATGAACAAACCAGGCAAAACTTCCTGTTCTAATGGAACTTACACTCTTTGGGAAGACAGACAAACCAGGTGAACAAGTAACATATGGTATGTTAGTGATCACTGCTGAGGAGCGGGGTAAAGTAAGGAAGGGACATAGAGCAGCCAGAGAAGCCTTAACTGGAGAGGAAAGCTTAATTTCAAGCAGAAAGTAACAATGAGTGCAAGGGTTGAGGCAGCTTGCCTGGCATGTTTGAGAGCAGCAAAGAGAGTGAAGTAAGTTAGAGTGTCCACAGTAGGAGATAAGGTTAGGAGGAGACCTAGGTCATGGAGGACCTTTACCTTTTGGCTTTTACTCTGAGTGATGTGGGAAGCCATTGCACTGTCTTGAACAGAGTAGTAATATATGATCTTTGAGGTTGTACCATTTCATGGGAGCGGAATTCAGTATAGAATTGTACAGTGCTATGGTCCTGATAGGACTGTGGTTTAAAAGAATTACTCTTGGCTGTTGTGTTGGAAATGGATTGCGAGGGGGAATTAAGGTAAAAGTAAATGGATATTTAGGAAGCTGTTGCCATAATTCAAGTAGGAGATAGTGATGGGTTAAATCAGGGTGGGAGCAGTAGGAGGTGTTAAATTCTGGACATATTGGATGGCAGAGTTGTAAGGATTTGCTTGTTGATTGAGTTATGAGATGGGGAAGAGAGAAGAGGACTTTAATTTACTGGAAATGTGGAGTTGCCATGAAGTGAGATGTGGGAAACTTCATGGGCAGTGAAAATTTAGAAGCTTGATTTGAGACATGTTAAATTTGAAATACTCACTAGATGTCCAAGTGGAAATGGTTAGGGGGGCATTGGGTATATATGTTTAAAGTTCAGGAAAGAAATATGGGCCAGACTAAATCTATGTGCAGGATATACCCACACCCTCCCCCTCCCCACAGGATTTACGTACAATATATATTTATATGTAGTGTTTAAAGAAAATATTTTTTAAAGGACTCTACACACTGGTCTATAATCTCCTTTTCATGTAACAGGTCTTTATGGACCAAGTTAAGGATTTAGGACTTTTGTTTTTAGGTAGTATTGGCCGTGAAAGACTTAAACTAGAGGAGATGCATAATTTGGCTGCTGGGGGGAGGATGAATTACACAGGGGCAAAAGTAAATGTTGGGGGAATATGATTAGGTTTTATAGTAGTTGGGGTAAGAGTTAAGGATGACTTGGACTTGGTGGGGGGCATTGGGGATAGAGTGTATTCTGGTGAAGTATTGCTATGTAAACATTCCAAACTTAGTATAAAGTATAATTTTTATTCCGTGGGTCAAGAACTCAGACAAGGTACAGCAGAGGTGGTTTGTGTCTGCTTCACGATATGTGAGGTCTCATCTCATGAGTAATTGAAGGGCTAGGTGACACAGAAGGCTACAGGCTTCTTCACTCACAAGTCTGCTGCTTGCAGTGGAATGACTCAAATGCTGGATTCAGCTAGAACTGTCAGAGAACCTGCATGTGACCTCTTCATGCATCTTGGGCTTCTCCAAGTCTGGAGACTGGGTTCAGCAGGGAAGTACTTGGGAGTGAGCATTACGAGGACCAAAACAAAACTGCAGATCATGCACTGTCACCTCTGCCATGCTCCCTTGGTTACAGGCAAGTCAGTATGACCAGCCGAGGTTAAAGGGGAAGAGAATTAGATTCCACCTCCAGGGAGATGTCAAGGTTCCATTGCAGAAAAGTATGTGGAATAAGAGATTCTGTAGTTACCTTTGGTTAGCATCTTCCAGAAAAGGAAATGACACAATTCAAGGTGCATTTAAGAGGTGGACTTGATAGGGCTTGAGGAATGGTTGAATTAAGAGATGCAAGTGGAATCAAGGATTCATTTATTTATTCTACAAGTATTTAAGTTCCTGCTATATGCCTGGCACTCTTCTTAGATGATTCTGAGAAATAATGGATGGCAGTGGCATTTACGGATTTAGAAAACACTGCAGGGAGAAGCAGATAGGATTAAATTCACTTTTGAATATATTGAGGTTGAGGTGCCTGTGAAGTAGCATCCCAATGGAGATTTCCAGAAGGTAGTTGAATATAATACATCTAGAATATAGAAGACAAGAATTAGTGGAATGAATTTAGGAATTACCAGGTAAGGTAAAAGAGAGGAAAAGAAAATTGTTTTGAGAAACATCATTTTTTAATGAACAGCTAGAGGAGAAGGGGTTGGCAAAGATGATCAAGAAGAACTCCAGATGAGAAAGAAAACCAGGGGTAATGGCATCAAAGATTCTTAAGGAAGAAAGAGTGTTTTAAGAAGAGGGTTCAACCATGAAGTCAGTTAAGAACAGGATCAAAAAGGTGTTCATTATTTTTAACAATCTAAAGGTCATGTGGAGACTATATTGAGAACAGTTTTGAGGAGTACTGATTGGTATTGGTTCAGACTGGAAGCCAGATTGGAACTGGTTCAAAAGTTAAAGGAAAAAGAGTGTGTTGAAAAATCTAGGAGTTTGGCAATCAAGGGGATTAAAAAGAAGTCATAATGGAAAGTAGCCAGCCTAGAGAGAGGCATGGCTAAATAATAACATATTATTTAATCATTTATTATATTACTACATATTATTTAATTATTATGTAATTAGCTGTTTTAGGGGGAAAAAGCTCTCCCTTGGGAAAATGCAGATTAGATTGAATTCTAGTTCCTGTTCTAACCCTCCCAGTAGTTCGTGAACTAGTAGTGCCTTAAATAAGAAGACATTGCCATTGTCACAGGAAAAAAAAATTAGGTGGATGCAGGTGATTTTTGTGGCTGTGTACTTGGGAAATTGAAGTTATTCATTATACCTATACTTAAGGAGGGTGAAGTGAAATGATTTTTTACGCCTCTGACTTCTAGGGTCAGGTTTCCAACTAAGTTCTGTACTATGCTGTATTTTCCTTGGCCTTTTGCCTTCCTTATCCCAAAGCCAGTTCACTTCTTTTCCTGTGCTGAAATACTAATGTTGTTTGTGAATAATTTTCTGAGGAAGAAAACATGGGAGAGGGAATTATGGGAGCTATTTTAGTTCATAAGACAATCTGAAAACATCCTCAAGATACACTTTAAGATATAGTTGCATATATTGATGGAAGACAGCACGATATAGTAAACTACCCTGGGCTAGGGTGAAGGTGGGGAATTTAATTCTGATTTTGCAAATTCGTTTTATAACCTTAGGTAGATCACTTCCTGAAGTATAAAATGAAGGAGTGTGTGTTAGATGCTTTTAATTGGCCCTTCTTGCTGTAAGATTCTACAGTTCGTAAAATCTCTTCCTAGGAAAAGTTTTGTTGACCAAAGAGTAAGCACTGTATTTTGACTTTAGGTTTGCACAGTAGATGCTGAAAAAATCTGATGTTTTTTGTGTGTGTGTTTTTTGCTTCTGCTCTTTTACTCATCAGTCATCAAAAAAAAAAAAAAAAAAAACCAAAAAAACCAAGATATTTTTGTGGGTTTCATTTCAGGTGCCCTAATGCATGAGTTATCAAATGATGGTGCTCGTAGACAGTTTGAATTTTATCTGGAAGAAATGATCCTGCCTCTCATGGTAGCTAGTGCCCAGAGTGGGGAAAGAGAATGCCACATAGTAGTCCTTACAGATGATGATGTGGTTGATTGGGATGAAGAGTATCCACCACAGATGGGAGAAGAGTATTCACAAAGTAAGTACTGTGGCATGTTTTCTCTCTCTGAATCATCACAGATTCTGTCTTTATCTTTTAGAATACTTATCAAAGGACAGTTTTTGTAAAGAAAGTACTTTGAACTCTTACCTACACCAGGAGTCAGCAAACTATGGCCTGTGGATCAAAATCAAGCCTATTGCCTGTTTTTAGAGATAAACTTTTATGTATTGTCTGTGGCTGCTTTTGCGCTACAATGGCAGAGTTGAGTAGTTGCAAGAGACCGCATGGCTCGCAAACTCCGAAGTATTTACTCTCTGGCCCCTTACAGAAAAAGTATCCCCACCCCTGTCATGCACAGAAATGGTTTGCTCTTTGTTGAGTATCTGGATCTTGATGGATTTTTTTTTCTTTGCATTTGAAAAGAAGCCTTTTAGGGAAGTAGATCCTGCAGTAAATAGATTATAAAAGATCAGCTGGGTTTTTAGTTGAATTGTTATTTGTATATACAATGAGAAGCTTCAGTGCATTAATTTCTAGGGTGACTTTAGTTCTAAGATGATCCCTTTTTAGTATCATATCTGTTCCTGCAGGATATAGTGACCCTTCAGAAAGCTTTGTGGAACTACAGTTAGGTATTTCTGACCAAAATAGCTTCTCTTGAGGAACAATGACTTTTTCCTTACTACACTTTCACACCTTTCCTGATCAGAGCCTTTTGATTTTTTGGTTGTCAGAAAATTTATAATATTTTTCTTGATGAGCCCAGTGTGGTATTTTTGAGCTGTTTTAGAGATTTGAGAAGACACAAAGAATGATTTGAGGAACTAGGTAAAATAGCCCAGCATCTTGTTGAGGAACTAGGTAAAATAGCCCAGCATCTTGTTCTGTACTCCAGTCTGTGTTGACTTGGTAAAGATCAGGGTTTCAGTAAAAAATACAGAAATACAGCAAGTTACCAGAATGCTTTAATTTCTCACTTTTTCATTTTACTTATCCTTGTCTAAAATCAAAACAAAGCAGATGCTGAGGGGTTTTCTTTTTGAGTTCTAAAGATTTCAAAAGATTATTTTAACATAAGTTATGGTAGCACTTTTCAGAATTTACATCAAGATGTTTACTTTGCACAATATACTTAATGAGTGTTGTGGTTCTTCTCTGGACAGTTGTTGTAACAGACATTTTTGTTGTATTTCTTCATTCCTAGCTTCTTTGCTGACAGTAGTTTTCTGTAATAATACGTGGAATAAAAAGTTGAACAAAACACAGGAAAAATGGAAGCTAACAAAAAGTAAAAGAAATATACTAAATTATTTTCCACTAAGAAAGAGGAATGAACAAACCAAAATAAATTGCAGTTTTCAAAAAATTTGCCTCTAGGAGAGTAGAGCCAGCTATGGAACACAGAAATAACATTATAGTGATAGAGGAATTATGGTAGACCTGGCTTTTCCTTTTCAATTGTTGTACTTTCCATGCCTGTTGTGTTCTTTGGTTTGTTTTCTTGTTTTTCATCTTAAGCTTTGAAGCTTAAAAAGGACTGAAAATATTTTTACTTCATTTGTCTAAATATATTTCATTTCATGCCAAGATGTTTCAAACTAAAAAAGATTCATTTGAGGAGACACAGCCTTTTCAGCCTGATTTTCCTGTGACATTGACACCATCCATTCCGAGATGTCGGCAAATCTTTATCTTAAAATATCAGTAATCTTAAGGATGTAAATCACAAATTTACCCCATGAGTAGCATCTATATACGTATTTTCCTTTTATTGGCTCTTAAACCAGCATGTTTGGTTTGTGAGTGTGTTTTTCTTTTTTTGAAAAAACCTTTGCAGTTCACCTTTTAAGGGAGATAACTCCACCTGAAAGAGAGAAGGCGAGGAAGGTCCATCAGTCTAACTCCCTGAAGTTCCCAGCACATTTGGAAGACTCAACATGTTGTCAGTGGAATGTCCTTTGCAAAGCCAGTTTGCTCTAAACAGACTAACCGAGGCAGAACATGCTCGAATCTGCCATTTTTAACATCAGTATTAAATGGGGGCTGTTCGCCTGAATTGAAAACAGTTTGTGGGGAGGGTCTTTGCCTTTTGGGGGAATTATTAATAGTTGCTCAATCCATGAAATACAAGATGTATCCATTTTGTCCTCTCTGACAAGGCAGTTTTTTCCCTTCCAGACGAGGCCTTGTAGGCATCACAGCAAAGTCCTCTATGTTGCCTGCTTGATAATGATGTGATATTGCCATCTTCTTTTGGTTCTCTTATTTGAAGAAAGTGGGGCAGAGCCTATTGCAATAAGTTTGTATATGATATATCTTTCAGAAGGAGATTTGTCTTCCTATGGATTGGGTTACCTGATTATTAAAGCTTTTTTCGTTTCAACTTAAGTAGACATTTGCTTATACATTAACTGTACTGAATTATCCTGTCATGTTGGCTAGTCATCCTTTCGCATCACTGCATCCATTATTTGGGCTTTTAGGATTGTCAGGCCCCTTTGATGATCATGATGATTTTAAGTTCTTCTCCAAGTACTTTGATTTTAATAAGAAAATATTTTTGTCTTTTTGTTTCCAGTTATTTATAGCACAAAATTATATAGATTTTTCAAGTACATTGAAAACAGAGATGTGGCCAAATCAGTTTTGAAGGAGAGGGGTCTTAAGAAGATTAGATTGGGAATAGAAGGTAAGACATTTCCATTATTTTTCTATTAATTTTTTAAAAAAGGTTAAAAATCAAATCCCATTTAGAATATAGTTTGAGAAGTACATACTTTCCTGAAAACTCAGATGACTGAATGAATGCTCACTCACACAGTAGACCTGTACATAACAAAAATAAACTTCCTTTATCTGAAAAGATAGAAAGCCATTAGAAATTATTATTTATTCCATAAGATTCCCAACAATAGGGAGAAGTGAGTTTGTCTTTTCTGCTATAGGTCATCACCTGATGCCTTTTCTGCCTAAACCCATGTAGTGTGTTTGGGTACACGTGTATACATAAGATTGGCAGGGATCTTTGCCCATTAGTAATCACTGGTGTTCCTCGAAGCCCAACAGAACTAAAAACTACTCTCTGAAAATGCATGTAAAAGCATATTAGTAGTTTACAGGTTCTTTTTTTTTTTTTTTTTTAAGATTTTATTTATTTACCTGACAGAGATCACAAGCAGGCAGAGAGGCAGGCAGAGAGAGAAGGGGGAAGCAGGCTCCCCGCGGAGCAGAGAGCCAGATGCGGGGCTCGATCCGATCCCAGGACTGTGGGATCATGACCTGAGCCGAAGGCAGAGGCTTTAACCCATTGAGCCACCCAGGTGCCCCAGTTTACAGGTTCTTAAGGTAGAGTAAACTTACTTTCAAATTAAATACAGATTTCAAACTTAATTTCATCTTGTTAAATGCATTCATTTTTAGATTGCTTTTACTTTGTGATTTACATGGATTTTTCCAGATGCTATGTCAGATACTTCTTTTATTTTAAAGTGCCCTTACTAAGAACAAAGTATGCCCTTGGCATAACGTGGCATAGTGTAAAGACAAAAGGTTCTGGAGCCACATTACCTGCATTCACATCCTATGACTGAATAACTCTATGAACTTCTCCAGGGCACGTACCTTCTCTGTGCTTCCATTTCCTCATCTAAAATGGGAGCATTAATAAGTACTTCATAGGGTTATGATGATGACAGATTGAATACACGAAAAACACTTAAAACAGGGGCGCCTGGGTGGCTCAGTGGGTTAAGCCTCTGCCTTTGGCTCAGGTCATGATCCCAGGGTCCTGGAATCGAGCCCTGCATTGGGCTCCCTGCTCAGCGGGGAGCCTGCTTCTCCCTCTCCCACTCCCCCTGCTTGTCTCTCTCTCTCTAAAATAAATCAATAAAGTCTTCACAAAAACAAACAAAAACCCTTAAAACAGGGCTTGGCACATAGAGTTTTATCAGTATATGTTTGTGATGCTGATATTGAAGATAATGGGGTTGATCAGTGACTAGCTGAGCTGCTGGAGATCTCAGTAATGGGCTGCTGAGACACAGGAGAAAGAATGACCAGAAATAGGATCTTGGCAGGAAGGGGAGAAGACTTTAGGCTTAAAAACAAAAGTGGCATTGTTGACACATTGCTTCACCAGTGTGTGTTGTCTTCTGTTGTTTTGTAAATAGTAGGATTTAGCTGTTTGATTTCAGAGCTAGAGAGAAGGAGCCTGGAATCTACTGCAAATTAGGAGAATGAGAAAGGCCTCTCTCAGGCTAAGATATTTGAGCTGAAGCTTGATGACAAGTAGGTTGGAACCAGGTTGTAAAAAAGCCTTATGTATTGTGCTAAGGACTTTGGACTTGCCCTCAAAGCATGAGGAAACCATTGGTAGTTTTTAAGGGAGGATGTAATATGATTGACTACATTCGTATGGGAGTAGTGATTCTGTGTGGAGGGCAAACTGGATTATGATGAGGTGGGAATTTTATAGACTAATAGCCTAAGCGGAATCAAGGACAAGGTAATAGAGCCGGAGACCTTTCTGAACTCCAGTGCTGTCCTTCAGATGGTAATTGACTGGAATTGTGAAACAAAGAAGACATTCTATAGAGGGTCTTTAAAACGTGTTTTTGTTTTTTTTAGATTTTGTTTATTTGACAGACAGAGGTCACAAGTAGACAGAGAGGCAGGCAGAGAGAGAGAGAGAGAGAGAGAGAGAGAGAGAAGCAGGCTTCCTGCCTAGCAGAGAGCCTGATGCGGGACCCGATCCCAGGACCCTGAGATCATGACCTGAGCCGAAGGCAGCGGCTTAACCCACTGAGCCACCCAGGCGCTCTCTTTAAAACATTTTAGCCCTGATTGCCCCTGAGCTCCCTTACCTGAGCCACATATATACAGGTCTTTCTAGTTTTTTCTGATTCTAAGACAGTCTGTAGCCCATGAGCCAAATCTAGCCCATTGCCTGATTTCCTCCCCTGCCCATTGCCTGTTTTTTTGTAAATAAACTTTCACTGGAACATAGACATGCTCACTCATTTACATATTTCTGTGGCTGATTTCACTTTACAATGGCATAGTTGAGTAGTTGCAAGAGAAGCTGAAAATGACCCTGAAATATTTATTATCTGGTCCTTTACAGAAAATGTTTGCCAATCCCTGGCCTAAATTAGCAATTCTTGTTAGTAGGAGGGAGGAAAGGGACTTAACAATATTTTCTAAGGAGTATTTGTTTTTGGAAAAATTGCCATACTGGTAAATGACTGAAACTTTTCCCAAATTAGAATTGTCTTCAGTAATTGTCAGTTTTCAGTAATTATCCAAGAGGAGGAAGGTATAATTAACCAGGGGAAGCACCTTCGGATGAGCTGGATGCCAAGCTGGATGAACTGCTTGGTTTGGGGAGTAGTGTTAAAATAATGGGTTTGCCGACCTAGGTGCAGGAGTATACCTAGAACCAATGAAGCTGGAGAACTATATAGCTCGCTCTCTTCTTAAAGGGGAAAAAAAAATAAAACAAAAAAGAAAAAACCCATGGCAATACAAAGATGATATTTAGGGTTAAGGAAATTAGAAGGCTAATTGCTGGCCTTGCGGCCAGATAATCCTACGAAAGGAAGGGTTCAGTGATGTTGACGCACAGAGCCCAAGATGCACGACTACATAGCATCGTCTTCAGGACCTATCCCCTCCATGTTGTTACTTCAAAAAATATTTTTCTGGTGGTTGATGTATTGAGTGGCTGAGAGGGTGGTGGAAGCTTGTGTGAGTGGCAGCAGTAGGCTTTCTGTGTTTGGCTGCTGAACTGATGACTGAGGCGGCGGAATATTGGTTTCCTTTCTTTGTTCTGTTTGGGAACTACAGCCAAAAAGCCCGGTTTGGGTAACTTGGGTGAGAGGTGGGGGGACTGTGTGTACCCGCTTGTGTGTGTACGTAGCCTCAGGTTTTAAAACTTGTCTCTCCTCCAGGTTATCCTACCTACAAAGAAAAAGTAAAGAAAAGGCCTGGGGGCCGCCCGGAAGTGATTTACAACTATGTCCAAAGACCCTTTATTCGAATGTCTTGGGAGAAGGAAGAAGGAAAGAGTCGGCACGTAGACTTCCAGTGCGTCAAGAGTAAATCTATCACCAATCTCGCAGCCGCTGCCGCCGACATTCCGCAGGACCAGCTGGTCGTCATGCACCCGACTCCGCAAGTGGACGAGCTGGATATTCTCCCTATTCACCCGCCTCCTGGCAACAACGACCTCGAGCCCGATGCGCAGAATCCAACGCTGTGAGGCTGATGTTCCTTGAACCCATAGCATGCTGGTCTCCACGGGGACGCTGCGCTCCACGTTCTGCGCTGCAGGGCCGCGCTCTCCATCGTGAGATGCGCAGGACGGTGTTTAGGGTAGTGCAGTGTAGGCTTTTTTAAAGACCAAAGGGAGCTGAATGGTTTTTTAAAGGAGTACAACTCTAGCATTCTGAGGTTCCAGTTCTATAAATGTATTTGTTTGGTTCTTTGTATGGGGGACAGTCCTTTTTCACACATCTAGAGATTTTCAGAAGTGGGGAAAATTGGCAGCTGGGGTATTTTCGGTTTAGACTGATATTCATCACACCCCAGGTAAAATGTAGAATATTCTATAGTTGCACTTTATAAACGGTGGTTAAATGGAACTGTTCAAGCCATTTTTATAGTTGTGATGCACAATATAACTGAAATAAGTGCTTCTATCAAAGTATTCCTTCAGTAAAATGTGTATAGTTGCTGCCCGTGATGGGCAAAAAAGGAGTATTTATCATTGGGCTTATCTGAATGATTTGGAGGAGATCCAATGCCCATATCTTATTTCTCGCCAGTGCCGTTTTTGCCCTTTTAGAGTGAGTCACATGCAGGAAGTGTGAACATCAGAGGTGGTTTATTATCCAGTCTGCCTTACCCTTAATCTGTTCAGATATTTATTTACTAATTTTTTTTTCTTAAGAGTTATGGGATAGGAAAACGAAGTGTTTGCTCTTCATTTACTAAATGATTGTAAACTCGAGTTTTTCATCAAAATAAAATTCCATTGTTTTAATGTTTTTGACCAACTTCATACCCACCTTGACCAGATTCTTAGTCTCATAATAGCAGATTTCCTGTCTTTTTGGTATTAATATAACTAGAAACCACCTAGTAGCTCCTGGAACTCCCGCTTTGGTTTGTGTGTGATGAAGTACTTAGATTCCCCCCCCCCCCAATCCACAGTAATGTTTGACTGAAAAAAGGGTGAAACAACTTTACTAGGTTATAGGATAACCTTAAGTTTCAGAACCAATTTCTGACCCTGGTTCAGTGTTTTGTCCATTACACTGTACTGTTCTTCTTGGCAAACTGTGCAAATGCTTTTAAAAAAAAAATACTCTGTGGCCCAACTCAAGAAGGAAGTGGTAGTACTTAGGTGCTTTGGGTCACACACTTAATGTGTGAACCACACTACTGGGAGCGGAGAGGAGCTGTAGGAAAGAAGTCCATTTGTTACACCTAATCTTGAATTTGTAATTTCATAGAATTTGAAATTTGTGTTTAAGCAGTAACATCACTATGCTCATGTAAAGTTGCAATAATTTGGAGATTAACGATTTTAACAGCGCAGCTAGCTACTAATAGGGAAATTATGTAAGTCCTGGAACGGTTATCGAAGGCCAGAAAGGCACTGTAAATGTTATTGGCATGGATTGTCCTAAAACAGCCACGGTAGAAAACGGATCCAGCCCTGCAGCACATAGGATTTTAACAGTATTTATAGAACAAGGGAAACATTTATTAAAAATATTTAACTGTCTAATACATTATACTTTAACCCATATTTATAGGAAAGGATTCTTACAAGGAAGAATAAACGGCTTTATGATACAATTAGTATAAGAAATATCCACATGGGGGACTTCTTTGTAGTGTAAAAACACCATACATCTGAAATGACCATTTGCATATAAAAGCTACCAATGATGCTTCTGTGCACGATGATTAAAAAATTCAACACAAACAGAATCCAAAATATACAATTAATGCAAGCTATCCACAGCTAGCCCAATAATCAATGATGAGGAAACACTGGAGCAGGCTTAGTTCCACTTTGTCTGAAGTTACACTAGTAAGATTGACTTGTATCAATGGCTCTGAGATGGCTTTTATGAGGACAGTACATAAAAGCTGTTCTTTTTATCCAGTAAGCTTCACAGACTGTAAAACTCCACCAGTAATGCACTTTGATACTGTAGCTGTTGCCAAAGCAACATGTAGTGTTTACAGTGGCCACGGCAAGTCACTAAAGTCAACAGGACCACCCAGCCCAGCATCTGCTTCCAAGAGACTCATTATGACAGCCATTGCTGCTTCATCATTACTGGGACTACTTGAGCCTTGGTCGTTTTCTATCATGTCTATGCCTATGTGAGGGTTCTCACCTGGAGGAGGAGATAAAGACCGGTCAGTCGTAATACCAAAGCATGTTTAACTTTAGTAAGCAGTTCCTAAGCACACTTTTAATGAGAACATTGTACTTAATAGGTGGGAATGGCGATAGAGACTGCTTTTGAGGCTGCATTGCCAATAATATATTTTCTTAACTTTAGTGTGATTCAGAGAGAAGAACCAACTTTCTACAAAGAGCTTAAAATGCAATAAAGATTAAAAGCATTTGAGTTGACCTCATTTTAATATCCTGACATAACAAGTTACACGGAGGAAGATACAAAAGGAAAGAAACAGGAAGGTAGGGATTGGGGGGGATCCAGAAAGACAAATAGAGAAAAAGATGGGTGAGAGGGGAGAAGCAAACTCTTTACCACTTTTAATACCCACTGAAATACTTCTTGAGCATCCTTCCAGGCTTTATTTCTGAACTGTCATCAGACTCCCAGTGAAGAGCTAATGGGCCACATGGGGGAAAGGCTGTATGGATCTAGGCTGCGGGAGTCTCCTTTTGAGTTCCAGGGGTAAACCTGGAGCCTCCCCTCCCCCAGAACTCAACCATTAAACTCAACTTTGAAGTAAAGATTTAAACCGATTTTAAACCTTTAAACTTAGTTTTTATTAAGTTTATCTAGAACTAGTTTATTCTAAAACTGACTTTTGTGCAAATTCATTGTATTGGAAAGGAGTAATAATGCTACTTACCAAGAATAGAGGAACTATCAGAATATGGATAGCCCGGGTTTTCCTGAGCCTGCCCTGGTAGTAGGCCACTGGAAGGAATGTCTGGGGTCCCTCCATTTAAAATCTACAAGCAAAAAGTGAAGTTTTCATATCAGCAACAGTTTCAATCAGTACTGTACTCAAAATCATCAAGAAAATGAAGCATGTTGAAAAGAGAAAGGCAAGGGAAGTGTTCAGTTTCCTACTGGATGATTTCAAACAAGAAACTGGAATGGTCACAGTAAGAAAAATCTCTTCCCAAGGTATTTTCTCTGTATAATTCAGCCCACACAGGCAATTTATATTTTTTAGAGATTTTCTTTATTTGAAAGAGAATGAGAGAGAGAACATGAGAGGGGGAAGGGCAGAGGGAGAAGCAGACTCCCTGCAGAGCAGAGAAGCCCCATGCCTGGACTCCAGAATCATGACCTGCGCAGTTGCTTAACCAACTGAGCCTCCCAACAAACAGGCGCTTTAAAAGGCTGAATGAAATCCCTAGAGCAGTCCATCACCTTGATCACCTTATTCATATGATTAAGGTCAAGGACGACCTTGGTGAGCGGATTAGAGCTCAGAAGAGGCCGTGATTTCAGGTCTTGCCAGTAGGTGGCATTACAAATTTATTTCCACAGTCTAGCTTTTTGGTAGAGAAACCCTTAAGAATTGAGAACTCCAAAGAACCTTTCCTTATATATACTATATTAATATTTACTATAGTTGAAGTTAAAACTAATTTTTAAAATCTAATAAACCTATTCAATGTTAACATGAATAGCATTTTAATGAAACATACTTCTCTAAAACAGCAAAAAAACTTTTTTTAACAAATGTCTGCCTTAAGATTTAACAGAATTCTCATTTTCTTCAATCCGTTTAGATGTTTGTTGAAGTATAGAAAGGAAGGAAATCAGGTATGTAGCTGGGAAAGAAAGGGAGGTCCTTTTTAATAGCCTTTTCAAACAACTTTGGTATTCTTTGATATTACATCAAAAGTCAACAAGTGAAAGTTTCTTAAAGATTAGGTGCAATGTGGAATCTGAAACCATATCAGTGAAATTCTTGTACTCTATTATATAAAAATCCATTGGTATACCTTTGTAGGATTTTGAAGTCTCTTGTATTGGTCATTTGGAAAACACTTGCTAAGTTAGGCAAAACTAAATGTTGACACATTTCATTATACCTCAAAATATCTCCATTGTTAAAAGGTTTTCCTGATTATGAGGTAATAGTTTTGGGAAGCTGCTGAGTTCAAAGCAGCAGATACAAGTTTTCCAAAAATTCTAATTTTTGCTTGAAAGCTAAACTTTTATCTCAGGCAGCAAATACGGTCAGTTGTCTTCCTTAAACTCACCAGTTCATTCATTTTCAAGGAAATGTATGCTAAATACCCAAGTCTGAACAACCACAGCTGCAATAGTAAAAATGGTGTCCTTTGACAAAAGCAGTTCATTTAGCTGCTAACTTAGCCACGCAAGTGCTCTTCCTTGAGATGACCATTGTACTCCAGGATGCGGCACAAGTGCTCTAACACATCCTTCCCATTTTGTAGCAGCGTTAAAAGATTTACACAAGGATTTTGTAAACTATTTCTACTGCTTATTAAGGATACCCTTAAATGAAACTGGCTTGAAATTTTTTCTTATTGTGAGTATATGGTGGTGAAGAATACGCTGACTCCTAGCACAGGTTCATGCCACTGCCATGATCTTTGGAAAAGCACCACTGGTTTTACCCAGCGCTGCTTTCTGCACTATCAGTTCATGAATCAACACAGTGAGGGGAAAAAAAAAGTTTTAGATTATCAAAGTAATTTTGACCTTGCAGATCCCTGGAAGGATCTTGCCTCCCTCAATACCAGGGAACTGCTGCTTTAACTGAACTTGCCGTAGTGCCCCCGGATGTCCAGACTCCTGGAACCTAGGCGGTTCATCTAGAGCCTCACTTTTTTGCTTGACCCTGAATGAAATAACAGGCAGCTAAATGGCTCATTTTGGGGCCTGCCTCATTAGAAGTGATTGGGAAGGGCTGGAAGCATGGGGCCAACTTTACTCTCATGGCATTGGTACAATGCTGCTGTCATTTCTCACTCCCATCTTGTTTAGGTGGCTCTTACAAGTCCTGTTGCTGAGGTCAGAATGAATTGAGAATTTCTTTTCTCAGATCCATTTTTATAAGCCCAAAGAAAAAAATTTTCCCATAAGTGCCTCAAAAATACTTGGGGCTTTGTGATGTAGAATACAGTATTAGATCTCTAAAGTTGTTGGTGTAGAAAGAATCAAAAGTCAAGACATCTGACTTTAAGTTTGGGGCTATGCTTGTTAAATGATTAGCCCAGCATTTAATATTTGGGAGCTTATATATTTTCTCACCTATGAAGTTGTGAGGCTAAGATGAGAAAATGTACACAGAAGTTCCCTCAGTAATATTTAAGCACTATACTGGAGTGATAACCTTTCAAAACAGTAGTGGGATTCTTGGTAATACCAGGAAGTCAAGTGCCTAAAAGTTGAACTGAGAGGCAGAGAAGGAGAGACCACCCCAAGGAGACAGTGGATCCAATATAGAGGAAGGACCTAGGGATGTAACAGGAGAACAGGCCTAAGAGAAAAACCTGTGAACAGGGATTGGGGATGTACCAAGCCTAGGCTTTATCTGTTGGTGCTATCTTTTGAGTCATTACCGAAAGCCAAGCACTTTCACATATATTCCCTCATACCGGGACTTAATATTCAAAGACGCTGAGCATCCTAACCTACAGGGGCCCTGTTATAAAACAAAACTAGGGCTAAATAATTACACAGGGTCACCCAGCTAGCACATGGCAAGGCCAGGCTTCAAGCCCAGGTCTATCTTGCACTGATCACTCTTACCCATTAGTTTATTGACTTTGAAACTTTGGTGGGGGCTGGAATCAAAGCTTATTTTCAAATATAAATTTTTACAGAAGATTCATATATAAAATAGAGCCACCTTGGTAGAAGCAGGAGTCCTGACCTTACCCACTCTACTCACCAACCACCCTTGCCCCATCCTACCTGCAGCACCACAGCTCCTGGTAACCTAAGCCTCAGAGGAATGCAGTTCTGAAAACCCACAGCCTTCTTTTGATATAATTTGTGTTCTAGGAGTCCTATGTACATTACAATATTCTTTCTCTCTGTATGTTTTGGGAGGTAGGGGAAGGAAGACTATGTCCAAAGATTCTGGATCATCCTAACCTGTATTAACATTAGGCACTGCAGATTGATGATTTATAATTAACATGGACCTACACTTGTAAATTCTCTGGCAAATACGAAAACAGATGAGTGGTTTCTAAGCTTATTGATGGTATAACCTTCTAGCCAACTCTTCATGAGAGCTGGCAACTGATACATTACTTGTACCCAGTGCTGTCCTATCACAGGGAACCCAGCCAGCAGACCCCCCCCGCCCACGTATTCTGCAGCTGCAAAGGCATGGCTTGCCTTCCAAAGCACCATAAGTGCTCCTGCTAGTATTTCTGGTTCCCATGCCTGCCCTAGAGACTAATGATATTTTCTCCCTTGAAAATTCCTGGCAGAGAACTACATAGTTTTTTTCTGTGAGGTACTCATTAATCTTTCCTTCACGGGAGCTCTTCAATCGTTCCCTCAATGCAATGGTCTCTCCATTCCTTAGAACATTTTTTCTGCCTTCCCCTATTCACATGGAATAAGTCCACTAAGGATATCAGCAAGCCTCTCTAGCTCCACCTGCACGCTTTATACCCAAACTCATACAGATGCACTGCCTAAAAGAGGATCCAACTTGTTTCAGCAACCACAATGGTAATGACATACTCCCACTACCAGCATCTCAGAACTTGGACAAGAGGCTCTCCAGGTTAAGAAGGGCCTTAGTCTAAGAATCATCAACCTTACCTTCTTGCCTCCTGGAGAAGAGGCATCAGGGGGAGGTGTACTTGTGATATTTAATGGGCTGGAGCCACAACTGGAAGGTGATGACCCTCTTATTCTGTCAGAGAAGAGAAGAGTTAGTTATATTGTCTTTCCTTTTCTTCCGTGGGGTGTGAGGGGTGGGGGCTAAGAAGAAGGATGAAGAACTAGAATAGAGATTGGCAAACTTTTGCTGCAAAGAGCCAAATAGTAACGACCTAGGCTCTGTAGGCCACATGATTTTTTTTTTAATTTTTTAATTTATTTATTTGACAGACAGAGATTACAAGTAGGCAGAGAGGCAGGCACAGAGAGAGGAGGAAGCAGGCTCCCCGCTGAGCAGAGAGCCCGATGCGGGGCTCGATCCCAGGACTCTGATATCATGACCCGAGCTGAAGGCAGAGGCTTTAACCCACTGAGCCACCCAGGTGCCCCTAGGCCACATGATCTTGATCCCAGCTACTCAACTCTGCCACTGCAGCTTGAAAGCAGCCACAGACAATATGGAAAAGAATGGGTGCAACTGTGTTCCAATAAAATCATGTTTACAGTAACAGGCGAGACACCCTATTTATCCCACAGGCACCTGATCTAGAATGCAATCCCTGGAGTCCAGCATCTCGCTGACAAAGTCCTGGGTTTAGGCTTTGGATTTCAGGTTGCTGAGTTTCAACTAAGTGGCCAGTTTCATTTCTCACAGATTACAGATGTCAGAGTTGGAGGGGACTTTAGAAGTTCAACCTCTATCTTTGATACCATGAGCTAGAAACCACAGCAAGTGATTTATCCTCTTCCCTACAGCCTACTTTTTGGCTAGTGAATACTCTTAGGAAATGGAAGGTGCTAGGGTGGCTCAGCTACACCTAGAAAGTAGCCCTGCTTTCTAGTAGTAGTAGCAATAGTACTACTACCAGTAGTTGTAGTAGTAGTAGCAGCAGCAGTAGTAATAGGGCAGTTGTCCCAACCACCTTCAAAAGCAACAGGCGATTAAAAAAAGATGGGTCCAGGCCCTCTCAGCTGTAGGTTTCTCAGTATAGGAGATTAACAAAGTCTTAGAACTGTACACCCACACACGCTCATCAAGCTGAAGGAACTGAGGAAAGGAAGGCACGGCCTGGTGGTGAAGCTGGAGTATGGTGGCAGCTGTGTGACCACCAGGTCCTTAGCTTCTACAGGGACAAATGCTGCTTCCAGGTTACCCAGGCATCCCACTCTCAACTGCTCAGCAGTCCTCTGGCTGTTGGCCTGTGCTGCCTGGTTCTATAGACTGGGGAATGAATAAGCTTTCGCTCTCCTGGATCATAAGCTCCTCAAAGGCAGGATACAACTAGAAGCCATGCACACTCAGCACACACAAATGGGTACTAATTGCTTACTCAACAATTGCTGGATCTCTCCCATCTTCCTTTACTTAGGTCTTTGAAACCACTATTTTCCTGGGTTCCCCATCTTGGGATTGCCTTTTCATTGTTACTTCATCTTCTAGTCCTTAAATTACGGATTTTTCTTTGGGACAGTATCATCACTGAGGGATGGGCCCTCCTTCCTGGGTTATTAACCATGTTCCCTTTCATTTCCTATTCCAATCCAACTTCCATAATACTTATTAGCACATTTTGGACAGCTGCTCAGCATCCTGCAATGAATGGGGTCTTAAAATTTTTTTTCCTACCTAAACCTCTTATAATTTGTTTTCCCCTATCTAAACTCCACAGCATTATTTATGAGGATTCTTAGCAATCTCCCCTCCTTGCTTCAGCTCACACACTCCCTTTTTTCTATTATCATAAAGAAAATAGATTTCTCAAAGACCTAAGACCCTTGAGGCCAAGGACTGTTTTACACTGTTCTTGGATGGTTTCAAGCAAGGCAGAGTATGTATATAGTGGCCAGTAAGAATCTGATTATCACTGCACAGTGCCCTGACTTCTTCGTGATGATGGGGTCACATCCACCATTCCCACAGGGTTGGAACAGAATTGTCCTGCGCACTGGGGTAAGAGCACCTCTGGCCAACTAGAAAACAAGACCAGCTTTCAATTCTCCTGGAGAATCAATCCAGTGGCAGCAGGGAATAATTTTTCCCTTTTCTTATTCTGTTCCATTAAGTGTGCATTCCTAAGGACCTGGTTACTACCCTCTCCATTCTCCAAATTCAGATGAATGTACAACTGCTTCCCTCTTAAGCGCCACTCTTAAGGACTCAGATTTAATTAAAAATTGTTGAGCACTCACCATATGTCAGTTTCTGTTCTAGGAACGTTCCTGAGACCTCTCACACTCCTAAAGCAATCCTTGGGAGAGAGTTATTACCTGCCTTTTATGGCTTTTTGGCTTAACAGGACCAGGAAGTTAAGGGACTCTCCAGCACAGCCAAGTAGAGGCCCAGAGCTCAAACCCAAGTAAACAACTTCCCCTCTTTTTCATATGGAGAAGCAGCCCTCCGTCTCTACTGTTAAAGCGAGGCAGATTTTGACTAGAAGGAGCTCATGTTTTGTTATGGCCCAGATCTCTGACCGTCGCTACTCCTGTAGTCCTGTGTTACTAGTGTCCATCCACCCTCATTAATCCCTTGAGTCATAATACAAAGTCATTAGAATATTGAGTCTCCCAAAGATATTCCCTTTGACTCTGGCCTGTTTGGGTTTCATGCTTTCTTTAAGGCAAGATTTCTCAACTTCCACACGACTGACATTTTGGACTAGAAAGTTCTTTTTTGGGGGCCAGAGAGATGGGAAGGAGGCTACCCTCTGTACTACATGATGTTTAGCAAGCGGCATCCCTGGTCTCTATCCAGTGGATAGTCTACCAACCAAAAATGTCTCCAGATATTACAAAACATCCTTTGGGGGGTAAAATACCCTGGGCTGAGAACCATTGGTTTACAAGAGCAACCAGAAGGTGTTACTTGCCTGTGGATCTCCATGATTTCTTCAGCAATCATTCGACCTATTTTGCCTGCCCCAGCCCTGGTTCCCCCTGGAATCCCTGGAACAGTGGGGTGGGTCCTCTTTGGGCCACCTACAACAAAGGAATCTGAGAGTGGGAAAGGGAAACCGAGGAAGAAATACTAGTAGGAGTTAAAACCCGCTCATCTTGTGATCTACCTGAAGTTCAACCTCAGGCTTCTGCCCTAAGTGACAAGAGAGCCGCAGCTTGTCAGGAAAAGGCATTCCAGCAGAGGGCTCAAGTCTGTGTCCAGGATCAGAGGCCAGAGCAAAGCATTTAATTCCCCCTCCCACACTCAACATCTGTGGACTGACCACCACTGTATGCAAGCCAGGGTCACAGAGATAAGCCAGCAGCTCTGCCCTCAAGGAGCTCACAATCTAGCAGGAAGACAAAGAGGATGAACAATGGCCGGAACGAAGCGTGGTAAGTTGGGACAGGTAAGCGCAAGGCACCCAGCTCCTCCAGGGCCAGGTGCAGCTTCCTGGGAAAGTTTAACTCTGAGCTGAGTCCTAAGAGAGGAGAAATTAGCTTGGCAGAGAGTTGAGGAGGGGAAGGCATTCCATCCACAGCCACCAATATATACAAGAGCCCTGAGCGAGGACGAAACCTGGGACACTACCCCAAGAAATTCCTCATGAATGATGGTGGAGTGACAGATGAAGCAGGAGGAGCTACCAATCCGATCATGAAAGGTCTTGGATGCCACACTAATGGGTTTGGATGGGATCCCGAGGATAAGAGGTGCCAAAGCACTTCCCACAGGAACGGCACTTAGACTGGCTTACTGGGAAATCCACTGCATGGAGATGAACGATACTGGAGGAAGGGGGTTCGGTGGGGGAGTGAGACTAGGATTAGAAAATTCTCTGCAATGATCCAGGCGACAAGTGGAAGGGAGACAGAGAAGTCTAAGAGGTAGAAGGGGCAGGATTTTGTGTTCAACAGAAGGAGTGAGGAGGAGGAGTCAAAGTTTCTGGCTTAAGCAACCACAGGAGGGAGTGCAGAGAACTGGTTTGGAGATGCTGAATTTCAGGTGCTTTTGAGACTCCAGGAGCTCTGTCTAGGAGGCAGTTGGAGAAACAGACCTAGAACTCTGGAGACAGAGAGCCCAGATACAGGAGAGTCACTGGTGGAGACGTGGGGACTGAAGGAAGCCATGCGAGCAGAGGTGGTCCCGTGGAAGGATGAGTCAAGTGCGGAGAGCAGGGGCTGGGGCCAAGCCTGGGAGGGAGCCCCACTCGGAATGGCACAAACCCCGGTGCTGAGAGACCCCCTCCTCCCACCACAGGAGCCAGTGACAGTCACCAAAAGGCACCACATTGCAGTCACTGGGCAATAGGGAGGAGAGCCTGAGAGAAGCAGGAAGTTTGCTGTTTCAACGGCTTCCAGGGTCCAGGCAGCCTCAGGAAAAGCAAAAATGAGCTCTCCGTATTCCAGGCCCAACAAAGAATATGAGAGGACAAAATCCTTAGTGCTCATCCCCTGAGGTCTCCTTTCTTGTATGGGGGCTGGGGACACCAACTACTTGGGGAGAGGGGACACTGGCCACAAGCAGCAGCTCACGGGTAAGCCCCGATGCCGCTGAGGTCCATAGTTACCTTCTCCAGAGGGCAGCATGCTGTCCATGCTGTGGGGGGACGCTGTGAGCTGCGGGAAGGTTGGGTCCCCGCCTTCCAGGACGTTGGCTCTGTGAACATCCCAGCAATAAGGAAACATGAGTCAGGCCTGCTCAGAACCATGCACCTTTCACCTTGGCCAAGGTGTCCGGTGTCCACTCTGGACGTGGACAGGCCAGAAAATGAAGTGTCTGAGTGGCTCAGCAGGTCTCCTCGCTGTTTGAGAACAGGACGGACAGCATCCCGGCCTTTGGCCTCACTGCCTGGGCCTTCCTGGTCTGTATGGGGAACAGCCCAGCAGTAAAGGTGACTGCGGCTGCCCACGGCCATCACTACAAGGCCTCTTCTCCCTCCAGCCGGCAGGGGCACCTTGCCTGGGCCCCTCACACACTCAGCTCTAGCCCCAGGCGGGGGGCTGGCCACCGGGGGGGGAGGAGACGTGAGGAGGAATAGTTCTTGCCAAAGAGCAGGTCCTTCCCTTCTCACCTTGCAGGTAGCAGCCTCTGAGGCAGGCCCGGCAGGCACGGATACCCAGCCACCCTCAGCCAGGGCTAGTCTGAACGGGCACCTGTGTGAGCCTTCCACTACCGTCAACCCTTCCCTCCACGGCGGTACCAGGGGCGCCCAGGGTGCAGGGCCTCCGGGATTCAAAAGCTAAGTGCTGCACTGGGAAGGAGACAGTATGATCTCCTGGCATAATTCCACAAGCCAGGGGCCTGCACCATACACCTATCGAAGCGTGTTCTTTGTTAACAACCCTGTTGGCCTCTACCAATCCTGAGGCTTCCCAGGATATCCGCGAGGTAGCATTCAAGGTGGGATCCTGGGGGCTGTCTGTACCCGCCTTCCCAGGTAAAGAGCCCAGGCATTTATCTTTGAAGCAAGGGAGCTTCTGATATGGGGGAAAACACTTACAAAACAACAGTGTTGGTTGAGACAATGTATTCTACTTCCTTGGTCCAAGGGTTCATGAAACTGAACCATCGACTCCGCAGTGTGATGAAAGAACCATCTTTGATTTTAAACTTGTAGCAATTCGTCGTAATCTTTTCTCTCGTCTGTAAAACTGAAAATGCAAAGAAGCCATGAACATGGTTCCCTCAGGCCGACATATGAAGTTAACCAAATCCTACGTGTGCCCGGGCTCCAATGCCATGGCCAGAGTGAGCAGGGGGAGCGGGCACTCGGACAACGGGCTGTCTCTGAGGGTTGGACTCAGAGCCTTTCGATTCGTTCGTGAATCGCTTGCTATTGCTCAGCGTAGGAAGTGAAGGCTCCGGGGAGTCAAGGACTGCGTGATCGCCATCTGACTGGGACCAGCTCTGAAACGCCAACAAATGTCCCAAGGGCCCATGTTCCTTCCCCATTACGAAGCCTGACAGTGGAACAGCATTTTTAGGACATCTGAATCCAGGAAGGTCACTCACCTACTCAAACTTTATTCTTTTAGGTCACAAACATGTCACAAGGACCTTTCATGGGCCAGGCACTGGAGACAGAGGGGAGACAGCATGCGGCCCCTGCCCAGGCGGGAGGGAAGATCTCAGAACGGCCCAGCGAGTGGGAGAGGGTGGTGAGGGCAGGAAGTGAGGAGAGAGCTCTGATGCCTCTGTGGGCAGGGATGGGTCAGGGGTGAAGCTGGGAAGGTGGGTCAGTGTCAGGAGGTGGAAGGTCTTGAATGCTGGTCACAGATATTTGGCCTCGAGTCTCAAGGCAGACTCAAGGCAGTAAGCAAGGATGGGACATTATCAAGCCTTCTCTGCTGGGGCATAAACAGGACAACTGTGGAATGTGGAAGGTGGGGCAGAAGGGAGCAGGGAGATGGCTGGGAGTCTTTCACAATTACTGGCTGGCCACAAGGGCCTGAACCAGGGTTGGGGCAGCAGACGTGCACAAAGGGGCCTCTCTGGAAACACACGTCTGAGGTGAATGAGCAGGACCATGAGGGAAAGGGTCAGTACTGGTTCCTCTCTCAGGAGGCCAGTATGTGCCAGGGCCGGACGTCAAGAGGAACACACAGGAAGCACGGCAGGATTTCATGGAAAAGAGATCTGTTTGAGCTGTACTAAATCTTTACAAAGACTGTAAAACAAGAATAAGAGAAGCTTTCCAGAAAATGCACTGTCCTATGTACAGGAAACTGCTAGGCAGTCCGAGGTGGGTTCACTGGAAGGGGATAAACAGGTCCCGGAACGTCAGTCTCTTCTCCACAGACATGTTGTGGCCTGAAGACTCCTGGGCTGGCTGCCTCCCACATCAGTGGGGGCAGATTTCTCTGGAAAGTTTATGTGGCCTAGTTTCAAAGCATGGGGACTCCTTAAATTAAGACCTTTTGTACAGCCTGGCTTACCTTGCCTATGACATTCTGCGAGGTGTCCTATGTCATCTTGGTGGAAATATTCGTAACATGATGTGCCTAGAAGTTCTTGTGGTAAATATGCCAAAATAGCTGTTGCCCTAGAATTTTTTTAAAAAAGAAACAGTAATTAGACAATTAACAGCATCTCTGCAGTGGATGAACCCCGCTGTGCTGAGGAGAACGAGGCCCGAGCTGGATGGATGTAACTGAGCTTAACCAACACTATAGAAACAGGGAAGAGAAAGAAAAGAAGCCTTTCAAAGGGGCCGTTGTCCCAAGAAGGGAGACTTAAAAATGGTAACTATGTTATCAGATAAAAATGTGACAGAAACCCAACCCCAGTGCAAACCTTCTCCATTTTACTACCTGCCTCCCCCCATTTTTTTTCTTTTAATCAGATGGCCAAACATTAAAAGCTCCAGCAGCGGGGGTCACAAGGGCCTTGCAAAGTTGTGGCATCCTTTCCCTGAACGTAGTGACTGTTTCTAATAGCCAGAAAACTTATCAGCCTGTGAATATTCTCCAGGAGGCCGCAGAGAGCCATGGCAAACTGGGCACATCTGGGGCCTCAGCTCAGGTCCACCACCCCTCCGCTGTGAATGGGAGGTGGCCGGTCCTCAGGCGGGCCCCAGGTCCCCACCCAGAAAAATGAGACTGGACTAGGTCAGTGTTGCCACTGACCTTTCTGCAATGGTGATGTTCTCGATCTGGGCCATTGGCCTCACAGAGCTACGGAGTACCTGCAAAACGGCTTAGAGAGCCTGAGGAACTGTGAGCTTCATTTTAAATTAAAACCCGAGAAGCCGTTTGAGATCATCATGGCCAACGACCACCGCATCAGACAGCTGAGGACTAGATCCTCTTTTCCAAGTCCTACATTCCAGAATTCCAATCACAGCCATGCCTGTTCAGGTAGCATCCAATGCCCACCACGTCCCTCCTGGCCATGGACATTGAACCACGATGTCGTCTACTTAATGGTCTCTATGTGGCAAAGAGCGTTACAGAGAAAACTCTGTGTTTATGATATTCCAAAGGGTCTCATTTTTTAGCAGAGATCCCCATTGTGTCCCTCTTTTTACCCTGATGGCCCAGCCCTCTCTGCTCTACCCAGAGATGAAAATCCTATACCATTACTGCTCACAGGGGCCACGCAGACGCTTACCTCTGGTCTACAAAAACAAACTTCCCGTCTATGGCGTGCCGGGACACGTACTCCATGGACTTCACTCTGATCTCCCCGTTCGCTGGCTGCGGGACCACATGCGAATGCAGGCGTCCGATGGCGACCAGGCAGCTGAGGTTACAGCCCTCGTTGTCGGGTTCGCCGTCCTCGTCCAGCCCCATCTTTGTGGGCGGCCAACTCTTCAGGTACCCTGTGCTGTGGATGGTGCAGAAGCTCTTTCGATCTGCTAGAAAGCAAAGTCCGCGGTCAAAGTCAGGACAGCTATGGGCGAGCACGCGCGACAGCCCGCAGCAGGCTGGGGTCCGGGAGAGGGGAGTCAAACAACACACACAGCTTTGCCCTCCAGAAGGGAGAATCCGGGGACGGAGGAAGACACAGGCGTGGACAGCCGTCCTCCAGCGTCCTCCGTGTGGAGCAGGGCTGCTGATACTGAGGAAAGAGTATCTGCATCTACCGGGGGTGGGAGGACAGCTGCCCGGGAAACCAGGGAGGAGGTGGATCAAGAAGGATGCGCACTGACTAAGGGACCCAGATGCATGGAGGTCAAGAAGGTACAAAGTGCCAAGGCGCGTCCTGTATGAGCAACAACAGAGGGCTCCGGAGGGGCTGGGAAGGCAGGATGGGGCAGATGACTAGGGTCTTGGGCTATTTGCTAACAAATGCGTGTATGTCAGGGAATGGAGAGCTTCTAAAGGTATTTAAGTGGGGACACAGCAAAGGACTGGCTACTCCAGGAGCACAGCAGTAGGGAAACTGGAAGAGTAAGCCATCAGGTGAAGACAGACATACAGCAGGGGACGAGGGCTGTGCTCCAGGACCGCAGCAAGGACGAGGCGGCAGGGAAGCACACGGGAGACGTTTCTGAGAATTCTTGAGATGTGGTAGGAGTATCAGAACATTTGGTACGAAGGAGAAAGTGGAGGGGACTCCAACATTTCTGGATTGAATGTTTGCTGCTGCTCACAGACTCCAGGAAGGGAGAACAGAATATGCTGTAGAGATGAGCGAGAAGGACTGCACTTTGGGACACACTCAGTCTAGAATGCCTGGGGATTTCAACAAAAAACAGATCCTCACGGAGGATTTAGGAAGCAGCAGGTCTATGCCGCTTACTGGGAGACTGGGAAACCCCTCGGACGCGCCAGCATGGAGTTTCCGGTCCGGGGGGAGACAGATGTCAAACAAACAACCGGGGGAGTGCACGGGGCAGTTCCAGGAAGGTGCCAGCAAGAGAACCTGGGGTGCTGCCAGCGGGCCTGAGGTGGCCTGAGGGAGCAAGCGGCAGCACAGACGCCCAAGCTCTAAAGGACCAGCGCTTCGAGCCGGCTGAAGGGAGTCGGGGGCAGGGAAACAGGGGCCAGCGCCCACGGAGACCTGGGGCAGAAAGGGGGGAGAGGCATCGACAGGAAGTCGGTACGGCTGAGCATGAGGAGTGGTGGGGGGTGGACGGTGCGAGGTTGTGGATCTCCACTTCTCCCCAACAGCAGTGGGGATGCTGCAGGCTTTTAAATAGGGAGCCGAGAGAAAGCTGTGCCAGTGAGGGGACTTCTGCAGGAGGTCGTCGCGGAGGCAGCACTTGGTCACTGACCGCATTGGGAGAGCGAGGGCATGGGGCTGGGGTGCTTCCCCGGCTTCCAGCACATGCAGAGGACAGAGGTACCGTTTACGGCGGGTAGAAGCTCGGGGCGGGGTGGGGGTCACTCATGCAGATGTGTGAGATGCCCTAGAGAAGATTTCAGAGGTAAGTAGATTTCAGAGGACGTGGATTTATGGTTCCAGAGCTCAAAAGAAAAGTCTGGGCTAGAAAGACAAACTTGGATGTTATTGGCACCTACGTGGCACAGCAAGCTAAGGGAGAAGAGGACATGACCTATGGGTCAAGTGTAGACAGAAAGGTGGCTCAGGACAGACGAGGAGAGAGCCAAAGGAAGTCAGAAGAGGGTCCTAGTGTGGCAGAGGATGGGGGAGATGAGAAGAATGTGGAATCTTAGGGAAAGAATACTTTAAGATGGAAGAAAAATGAACTGTCCCTTGTGTCTAGCAACGTGAGTGTCCTTGGTGAATGGAGCAAGAGTCATTTCTGTGGACTGGCGGGAGGCTCCGGGAGCGGCTGGCATTGTGGCTGAGAGCAGTCTTTCTCAACAACCTTACGACAAACGGAATTTGCACAAAGGAAGCCTTCCCAGGAATCACCGTCACTGTGACGACCATCAGGGCTTTCCAATCTCTCCTGCTCCCCAAAGTCCCTACCCATAGGGGGAGAATGGCACTGACTGCAGTCCTGGGATTGGCAGGGGGCCACCAAACCAACACCCTCCGGAGCACCCCAGGGGACAAAGCCAGTCTCCCCTGTATTCGGATTTTATTATTACTATTTTTAGAGATTTTACTTATTTGAGAAGGAGCACACAAGAGGGAGAGGGACAGAGATTCTCGGCAGACTCCACACAGATCGCAGAGCCCGATGCGGAACTCTATCCCAGGACCGCGAGACCATGACCTGAGCCGAAACCGACAGAGCTACCTGGGCGCCTCTGTATTAAGATTTTCAAGAAGTGAAATGGTTACCTTTTTTCTTTGAGCAGGTTGAGGGGAAATCCTTGTCTTCCACCTTTACTGAAGGCCTGTTACACTTCATCCTACAGAAGAAAGAACGTCGTGCTCCAGAACATAATCGAGATGGCCCAGGGGTTATATCTGTTTTAACTGGAAGTCCAGCTGCAAATCAACACACAAAATGTGATAAACTGAGAGTAGTATTGTCTGTCAGGAGGGGGAGTGGGACCTTGAAGAAAGCCTCTTCTTTCCTGCCTCACTGTTTCATAATGACCACATCACTCCTCCTCAGTTCAGGCCGTAAAAGACGCAATGTGGGGAAGAGGGTTGTCCATCTGGAGATGTTTCCAGACCACCTAGAATGCAGCTACTGGTGGGAGAGGCAGGACCAGGATCCTGCTGTGAACACCGGCTATGGGTCTACAGCCCGTGTCTGGGAATAATGCACGCCCACCACAGGAGTGCTATCAGAGGAGGAGTTGCTGCCCGGGGCTCCTGCTGGCTGTCCCCTCTCCAGCCTATGTGCCCTACAGCCACCCCGGTTGATCTTCTCTGGAACACACACGGGCCTGCCCTCCCTGCCCTGCTTGGTTTGCTCCAGCCACACAGCGGGCACTACACCTGTGTATCCTTCCAGAAATCGTTTTCCCAGCTCTGCTCATCTCTTCATCATCTGGCACACAGTAATCCATCCTTTCAAACCCACTTCAGCTGTCACCGACTCAGTGATGCCTGTCCTCACGCCCACATGAGGATGAATCCTCTGTTCTCTATGCCTGGTACTATTTCTGTGGCAGTACCCAGTACGCAGGGTACTGTCTGTCTCCTGGTCTCCCTATGACGTGAGAGCCTTAAAGGCAAGGACCAAACATCACCTTATTTTCTCCTCACGTCACTACCAAAAATGCCAGGGCCAGACTATAAAAGGCAACAGGTTCCAGGGACTGCGCTGAACTTTTAGGAAGAGGATATTTAATGAAAAGATCATGACACTGACATTGTGCCTACTGTGCACCAGGGACTGCCCCATAGGCTTTATGTATGTTACTATATTTAATCCCCACAACAACTCAATGAAACAGGCACTATTTTGCAGATAAGGAAACGGAGGCACAGAGAGGTTAAGTAACTTGCTCAAGGTCACACAGCTGGAAAATGGTGGAACTAGGAAGTGCACCTGGCAATCTGACTCCAGACTCCACATTAACTGCTAAAGTCCACAGGCTCCCATGGGACTGATGGGAGGAGAGCTACAGGGCCTCATGCAGGAGGCACAGGAGGGGACACGGGAGGAAGAAGCGGGGGAAGAATGTGAAAGGTGGTTTCTACTGCTAAAGAAGGAAGCCAGGAGATGGAGCTGACCAACGAGGAACCACTTTTATATTTCATGTTTTCTTACTCTCATCTTGTGTGGCTGCATATGTGTAACACAGGTAAATCGAGGGGATATTTTGGGAGGGAACAAATCAAACTGGTGTTAGCCCTTGAAACTCAGAAGCACAGAACTGGGAATTTCTAGATTCTGGGGGCAGGGGGGCAGAGACTAAAAACCAGAAAGAATCAAGGTAGCTGTTTTTCCTCTGTGGATTTGGACATTGAGTTGTTGCTTCTTTATGGGAAACAAAACAAATACAAAGAAAGGGAGATGATTGCCTTGAGCCAAAGAGAGCACCTGTGACCCAGATAAAGGGCAGAGAGGAGGGAGGCCTGAGGCTGAGTGTGGGGCCACAAGCAGCTGTCTTCGCTCAGCGGTCTGGGTGGGCCCCGAGGAAGCAGCCGCAGCCTTCTTCTGGACTCACTTTTTGCATCTATGAGCCGCTCCCGGGGCGCCGTGTCCGAGGACGAGAGCTGCTCCTTCACTTTGGCGATATCTTTAGGGTGCAGGTAGTCAAACAAACTCTGACCGATCAGATCATTCTGCAGGGATGGAGCACGGAGACAAGCAGTCAACGGCGCGTGGAACAGAATGTACCCAATGGGTGCTCTGCCTCTGTCTCTCTAAGCATGAGAATGTCAAGGTGTCCAACGTGAACACGTACACCTGCCCAGTCACTCTGGCTAGATATAGACACAGGGAACGAGGCATCACGAGTTTGGTTTGGGAACACAGGGGAAAGGGCTCAATTATACGGATACTTCTATAAATAGTTCGTGTCCTGGAAGCAGGAATCTTTTAGCTGTACACGTTCCCTTTGATTGATTTCTGATGCCCACAAATGCCCTTCTGGGGACACGGGGTGTGGGCGTGGACTCTAACCCAAGTTTCTGTGCTCTTCATCCACAATGGCCTTCATAACTTTGCTCAAAGACCAAGAAAAGCAAGACACTCCGGATACATTCAAGCTACATTCCTTCGAATGTATACACATGCCACCCCCACTCCTGCCACTCTCTCTAAAAAATAAATACTCAAAAAAAAAAGATTTTTTTTTTCTAGGTTTAAATTCATTTCTCTGTTAAGAAATGACGAATTTTCTGGAAGAAGCACTGGGTGTGTGTGTGGGAGGATGATACAAGCATTTCACAGGGGACTTGTAGATTAGAATTATTCTAACACGTGGGGTGACCTTTCTGGCTGCTGGAGGGCTGCCCGCCAGTGACAGAAACAGGAGCCATACCTGGCTGTAGTTGAGGATCTTGAAGACAGACTCGGAGACAAAGAGGATCTTCCCTCGGTCACATCCTACGACAAACAAAAATCCATCTGCTGCCTAATCAGGAGAAATGGACAGTCAATTTATCACACTTCCGGAAACACGATCTGTACTCACTCTGACCGCAAATAAGGGCTTGTTTGCTAAGTATCCAAATCACAGAAATGTCCTGACAGCCACATGACTCTCTCAACTAATGCCTCAGGAGAGGGGGAGATGCTCTCCAAGGTAGGTCCTGACACACGGATCATCGCAGGACTACAGGGGACGTTTCTGTTTCTGTTACAACACTCCAATCACTCTAAGACGTTTCCATTGAGTGTATCGAGGTCTGGAGAAGTCCTATTTTTTAATTATAACTATGTTTGAATCACCGAATCTAAGATTGAAAGGAACCTTCAAGATCAAAACCCCCTCTCCTGGATCCTGACCACCACCTGTCCTCAACCTGAACGCTTCCATTTACAGAGCCCACTCACTTTCCAGAGGTGCTTCTCAACATGGGGAGTGGGGTGTTGTTTGTTTTTATGCTGATGGTCTGGGGCAGGGCCAGATCATGAGTCTTTTCTTACCCCTACCCCAAATGATTCTCAGGTACAAGGACTGAGAACCACTGTTCCTTAGTATCATTTCTTGATCCAGGGCTGGGCTGCTTATATCCTAAGTGAGACAAGAAAAGCAAAGCAAAAATCTCCCCTACACACTTCTTCCTCCTTCTTCGCCTTGGGTACAGGTAAAAACCTAATCTATGTGCCTGTCTTGGGACTTAAATCCCAAGATCTCTAGACAGACACTCTTTGGTAGGCTGAAGCAGATAAATACTGAGCGTCTGAGAGCTCAGGCTATGTGTGACTCCTCCACACCGCTCTGTACACGGACAGCCACTCAGCTGCGGCTGGGGCCTCCCAGGGACCGAGAGCGTCTAGGCTCAGCTCCCACAGTTCTAATTCAACACCCTGCCTTATTCACAAGTCCTTGGTCTGTTCTTGGGAAAAAATCTAGAAAAACTCTATTCCCCTTCCCACAAAAGGGCCTTGGGGAATGTAGTTTAATTCAAGGAACTAGGAAATTCATGTGCCTGAGGAAAAGAATGGCGCCCACACGGGTGCGGCCATGAAGGCAGCTGGAGGGGACTGAACCGGCGCTGCGGAGACGGCGCCACGCCCCTCAGCCGGAAGGGAGCGGGTCCTGAGCTCTTCCTAAGCTGGCACAGGGGCAGGGGAGGACAGTGGTGAGGAAGAGACTTCCCAAGCACCATCTGCTGGAAGCCTCGTTCAGTCAAAAACTAGGGTATTAATAACTTGCGCGCTGCCTTGCAGACAATCTCACATCTCACAGAAGTGTTTCGAAGCTTCTCACAGATGAAGTGAAGTGGCACAGAAGGTGCCTCCGAAGAAGGTGCCCGTGACATCCGGGCGGGAATGCTGGACAGAGTCAGGCCTGAACCCGTGACGTCATGAACAAAGGTGGTCTCAACACGTCTGGGGAGGGCAAGAGGGCTCCAAAGGCCAGTGAGCCGTCAGTGAGGAGAGGCTCAACACATTCTGACTCTGCTTCCCTCAGGCAGATAAACGCCACCAAGCGAAGGAGCTGGGGCCCAGGGGGGCAGTGGAGGAGCGGAGACTAGGAGATGCCACCAGCACCAGGCGGTCACAGGGAGGGCTCCCTCTCAGGGCGGGGGGCAGACTTAGTAAGGGACACAGAAGCCCTGGTGGGGTCTGGCTAGTTTTCAGAAGATGGGGAGGTAGAGTATCCAGACATCACACACTGGTCAGGTTGCCGGCTCCCTGACACACCATTCGTGGAAGCCATTTTGAAAGCTCTCAGTAGAGAGAGCAATCAGTCAGATGCGCACTGGGAAGGAAAAGCAGAAGTCCAGTTCCTATGGCCAAACCATTCAAACACCATCTTAGTGGACCCTGCCTTCTGTTGAAGCAAATTCATGAGAACTGGGCACCTGGAAGTGGTGAAGGATTGGACGGTGCTTTGTTGCCACAGACACACACCAGGGAGGGCAGAAGAGCTTCCTCAGGGGAGACACATCACCGCTGTGTCCTACAGATGCTGGGGGACACGGAAGCACAGGAAAGGCAAGCCCAAGATGAAGTATTTAGCTTAAATGGCATGAAAATCCTTGTTCCACACCCTGATAAGCATGGGGATTGGACAGGAAATTTAGAAGAGGAGAAAGTTATTAAGCATTTGCCATTACAAAAGAAGTTTATATACATGTAAATACATATAAACCTATGTTATATATAATGGGAACTTCATATGCCTTCTGTGTTCAAAATAAAACACATTTGTATCACATATATATCTTTTCCTTAAAAACATCCAATTAGCCGTATGGCAATCAAGGCAATCAAGTGTGTGTGAATAGAAACACAGAGACCCTGTTTCGAACTTTATGCCCTTCCAGGTGGCAAGAGTAGAGCATTAAACCAAGCTCTGGGCCCCCTGGGGCTACAGAGGCTGCTGTCCACAAAGCCAGCTCTGGGAGTTCCTCCAGAGATCAGCAGACCCAGTTTGCATCCTACCTTCAACAAGGCCTCCCTGGGAGCAGGGACAGCTTTAGGAAGAAGGATGGAGAGAGGAGTGCAGAGCTGTGCCCTGAGGGAGGTACCCCAAGGCCACCACAAACTTACTGAGATGCCTGGCACCCCCACAACGTGTTTACTGTTGACCTGGATGTACCTAGAACAGTGCAATGCACACAGAACGAAGTCTCAGATTGTCTGTGCTATTAGAGAGTGAAAGACACAGAAGGCAGGCCTGTCTACCTGTCACAAGAAGCTTCGGAGGAGCCACTGATGACCAACTGGAAATAGGACCATCCAATAAATAGATTTTGACAAAAACAGCAGCTCAAAAAAATGAACACCTATACAGGATGGAAAAAACTTCACCTCACAATAACCCCTGTTCAAGAGAGCGAGAGGGATGGGATTACAGTGGCCCAAAACATGGCACGAATGTGATGGCTTCTATGGCAAGGAAAGCACCAGGCCCTTCCAACCACAGGCCAACCAGACCACAGCTGAAGTTTCCACAGTGGGTCGTGAGAACCACTCCCGGAGGAAAATCTAGCAAATGGACGTGGCTTTGGAAAGTGTGCGTGGCCAGTGTTGATGCAGGACTCTTGCCTGTCTCCTCTGTGGAGGCTGGAAAAACCTAAATCCTTGCTGCAAAGCTGGGGTCAAGTCACACCTTCTGGAGAAGCTGATGTCTACTACTGGGCTTTCAGGAAGGCCTATCTTTTCTTGAGAAAAGGGACACCTGGCCTGGATACTCCCCTGCCCCTTGTTTCTGGCTGGTGTGGTTACACTGAGGAAGCAGACTGCAGACAAGCTTGACGGGACTGCTGGTGAAGGCAAACAGAGCCTGGTTCCAGCCGCCCTCGCTGAGCCACAGCACCAGCCCCTCCTGGTCTACCACAGGACCAGCTGTATTTGGGACACAAAACCCTCTCTGTTCACCAGGTCATCCGTTCCTTGCAGCTGAAAGCTTTTCAATTGAGAGAACACGTCAAGAGGGGATGAATTTCAGAGGCCAGACTTACAAAGAACCAGAAGCCAGGCAGAGCGGAAAGTCAGGGTGACAACAGAGTAGCCTGGAGCCGGAGGCCTGGCAAATGTCTGCTCAAAGACACGTGCCCAGATGCCATGGGGGCTTAGCAAGCGAGGTCCACCCTGGCTGGGGGAGGACAGAGGCGGGTTACATTTTTCTGTTCACAATTTGCAAGAGGACAGGCTTCTGAATCCCGGTTCTTTCCCTTTAATTTCCAAGTTGATCTCACTCTAACCAGAGGCAGACCTGATTCCACACAGAAGACAAGTTCGCGTGGCGCCATGTCCACTGCCTCTCTGCAGGGACGAGCAAGACCAGCGAGCGTGATGGGCGAGAAGGGAGAGCTTCACCTCCCCCATTTCTTTTCCTCCTTGGACAGAGGAATCTTTGGAAGCTTCCTTGCTTTGATGGGATTTTGGTGTCAGGATGTACATGGATGTTTTTGTGCTAGCAGTTAGGGGAGGAGAGGACAAATCCTTAGTTACCCATATCCGTCCCTTTCTAAAACCTTCATGCCAGAATGGGGTTCTTGACTACCTATGAGTAACAAAATCCTGCCTCCTTCCATTGAAAAATCACAGTAGCCTGGGCCTTCAATTTTTGTCTAAACAAGGGTGGAAGGACCGTGGAGACAGTCTAGACAGATGTGGACACCCGAAAAGACAAAGTGGGCCTCAAAATGTCCAATATATAGACATCAAATTCCCACACTCTGCTACCTCACTCTGAAATTTCTAAGGATGTGTAAAACAAGCTCATGACTGTGACATACCCTGAGAATGAGGTGTTTCAATTCATCATCTGACAGAAAAGTTGGTTTGTAGTTTGCTTCTGTATATGGGTTGGTGGCACCTTAGGGAGGAAAGAAAAAAAAAAAATTTTGTACACTTTCTACTCAGGGAATGGCTCCTTCCACTAGGCCTCTGACCTTCCAGATGTGGCCTAGTCCCTACCACCCAGGACTTCGATGTTCTCTTCTTTTTCCTTAACGGACACAGCATTAGATCAGGCTTTGGAAAGAACCCACTGAAAAGACAAAACTATTGCCCACAGGGGACCTGACAGGCTTGCTCTGGTCACCGTAGGGGAGCCAAGAGGTAATAGACGTAAGTAAAAATCTTCTTCAAAGAGAGAAGGCAGCTTTGGAAGCCGACCGACAGTGGCTCCTGGGAGGATTCCCTCCTCCCAAGATTGATGTTAAATGCATTGTCTAGAGGTCCCTCAGATGACCACACTGAGCATTCCTGGAAATGTCCAGTCAGCCAGGCCCTGAGTAAATAAATATACTGTAGAAGGCATTTAGCGGGAGAGCTGCCTCATCGGGGGGGCGGTAAACGAGCTTGGCAACCCAGAGAAATTCATTGCTTCAGTGAATACAACTCTGGCTCCTCCGGCTGAAAGGGGACGAGATGCTTAAAAGGCCATCCATCTGGCATCGTAGAGGGAACTCAAACAGGCATCGTATAGTAACAGAGAAAAATGCCCGCAGCAAATGACCTGGAATCTGCAAAAATGGTTAGAACAGTGAGGAAATAAAATGGAAAAGATTGGTTACAATTCCCAGTACCACGGTGAAGGAGGTTGACAGAACGTGTCTGTGACTTTCATATCAACAAATGAGGCACACACTGTGCCCCACCCCTGCTTTTGACAGAACTCTAGATTTGTCCTTCGTTTCCTTCCAATTTAATAAAAATTAGCTTATGCTTATACTAAATCTCTAGAACCTTCCCTAATAGGAATGTTTAGATGACATGCTCACAACATAGGACACGATGCTGCCATGTCCATAAAAACGCAATTCTTTTGCCACGCAGGTCAGAGGTCTGACTGAGCGCCCACTTTCCAATTTCCTCCAAGGGTCCAAGATGGGCCACAGAACCTTCCAGGCCCAGTGCTCACTGAAGGGCCTGCGACAGTACAGATTTCTCCTGTGGTTTGGATAAGTCCTTTCCACATTACTCTGCCTCTGTGTTCTGAACCACCCCATGTTCAGAGAAGGAAAAACTGCCTCCCTCATAAAGAGTCTATCTGGTTTGGGAAAATTCCAGGAGCATGAAAATCTTATCAGTGTTCATCCCTGACAGTAAAACGAAGCAAAAACCATCCCCCAGTGAGTCACTCTTGAAAGGAGCCATGGTGAATCTTCCTCCTACAAACAGCAGGGGACTTCTCGGTGTCTCCAAGGGCACCTGCATTTCTGATGGGGATCACCGGGCAAGTGGGGCCCAGGCGCACACACACATGGAAGGTGTGGGGCCTCTCTGACACACACGGAGCCTGCCTCTCACATACACGTGTACCCCCCGGAGCGGGTCGACTGCACAAATCCCCACTGGACACCCACGTAAATTCAATGATCACTCCATTTGTCATCAGGTCTACTGAGGGGAAGGAGAGGCCTGTTGCTGAAGGCTACACACTGGCAAATAATGACCACGGTCCAGGGGCCTCAGGCACACCCTAGGCCAGGGACGGAACACTGGTAGGCCGGGGCATCAAGGACAATAAAGCCCACCATCTTACCTCGTAATGTTTTCATGTGCTGAACGGCCATCCTCAGCACAGTAAGTTTATCTAACTTCCTGGACATGGCATTGCACGTGGGCACCAAAGAAGCCAGTTCGTCAATGAAACTGTTCATTTTATCCCGACGCCGCTTTTCGATCTGACTGTGGGCTTCCCTGCACAACAGGAAAAAGGATTTCTAGAAAATGACACCAAGCCTCAAGGAGACAATGACAAAAGTCAGTTCCCACGGTTCCTGACATTCCCCGGACAGGGCACATTTAGAATCTGCACAAGGCTTTGAACTCGACTAAAGGTACCAAAGAAGCGGCCTCACTGCCCACCCCCGCCCGCCCTGGGGTCAGTATTAGTTGGCTGTATGCTTTCCACATACTCAGAATTAAGAAGAAATAGAACAAAAATGGTCTTCTCAGAGTAAACTGGATAGGGAATTTCTCATTACTTTTTTTTTTTTTTTAGATTATTTGTCAGAGAAAGAGCAGCGGGCAGAGGGAGAAGCAGACTCCTGCTGAGCAGGGAGTCTGATGTGGGACTTGATCCCAGGACTCAGGATCATGACCTGAGCCAAAAGCAGACGCTTAACTGATTGAGCCACCCAGGCACCCGTTCTCATTTCTTTTCCTCTCAGCATCTGTCAGGTTGGATTTTAAGATGGGCATTGAGGGAAAGAGAAGGGACGTGGAGCCTGACAAGAGCAAAGCACTTAGGACAGCCACTGGGTGGGGGGTGTGATCCTGGAGTCCCGGAGAGATCTCGGAGGTTTGTGAGGAGCCCACTGCGTGGCCTGTCAGAGCCTCACTGACTGAGTCACTAGGTAACTAGCGCCACCATCATTGGGTCAACCATGACTCCACCAAGATACAACAGATGCTACATCTGTCCCCAAGAGCTTCCTCTGAAGAATGTCACACTCGTCCCTCCCAGGAATGGCTGCCCGTCAAGGCAAGGGACACTTCCCCAGGAACAAACGCTCTCCCTGACTGGTTTTCAGCTGCCATTTGTGATGGTCCCCTATGGAGGTGTATCACCAGTGGAAAGGTCATTTGCTGCCATAGCAACAGAGCCACCAAGAGGGACCTCCCACCAAGGCTAGGCCGTGTAGGGAAAGCTACAAATCTCAGGCCAGTCGAATTCTGCAGCCCTGGATCTGTGTCAGGACAGCCTCAGAGGGCCCTGGAGACACTGGGAGGAGAGCAGACCCACATGGATAGGGTCACCAAGTGTGGCTGGAGGCAGGAGGGACCAAGTCCGAGAATCTACTCAAGGGCGAAGGCAGCCCCATCTCTGGCCTTGCAATGCAAGACGGGCTGCTCTGAGAGGCAAGGCTCAGCCCAAGGATGGGGTCACTGAAACAGGTCTCCTCTGGAGGGGAATCAGGAAGGAGCAAGGAACTTGCTGGAGACTGCTGGGGAAGAGCTTCAGCCTGGAAGGGTTTCCTGCTACTTCTGAAGTCCCCTTTAGGTTAAATGTGATCAGACAGCCAAGAGTGAAGGCCAACTCCATGTGGAGAGGACAAGTGGCAGGCAGCCCACATCAACCCCCACCCTGAGACCTGAAAGGATGCTTAGACCGACAGGGACCAGACACACAGAGCTGCCTCAGCTGCACTCTGAGCAGCCAGAACCAGGATGCTGTATAGACTGGTCCATGCTTACCTTGCATTTTTGATCCTTCCTTGGTGCTCTGTGTATTCTAACCTGGAAGGGAAAGCATGGGGGAAAAAAAAAAAAAAAGCAAGATCAAACACAATCCCTGGGAGACTAATGGCCAAGTTACACCTCTCTTTCTTCTCAGCTTCATTCATTTCCCTGCTTAATCCCTGTCATCTGTCTCCAACACAAGGGCTCTTGTTAGCTGCCCTGGGGGGCTGGGGGTGAGCATCTTGAGCTTATCCCCAATCAAGGACACAGGTGGGACCTGTACCAAGTAACAGAACATGTAATTATGCAAGGAAAATAGCTAGCAGGATGAAGGTCATGACTAGGTTCATGGTACCTTCCGTGAGGGTCATCTTTGTCTGTGTCCATGCTCTCTCTGAAAAAACAAGAGAGAATGTGAGTATTTAATAAAGACATACAAAGCAGCTTCTTACAACATGGAAGGATTGCATTTATCCAGAAACCAAATAATCAGAAAGTTCAGATTTCCGTAGTATCGATTATCGACGCAGACTAGTCGAACACACACAGCTTGTCCTACTATGCATCTAGGACTGGTTTCCCAGATGATCAAACAAAAGTTATGTGTGGTCATCAACAGAGCTTGCTGTTAACATATTTTAGGCCCTATTAGAAACCGGGAATACAGAGCATTTATGGAAATTCTTAATAACTGTATCCAAATAACTGTAATATCTTATTCCCCTCATCATTCTGGATAAATGGAGTTTATTCATTTGCAAAACATACCAAGCCTCAAATATATGTGTGCATACATATATATCTGGTGGGGGGGGTGTGAAGTGGGGAGGGGAGACCAGAGAACCCACAAGGAAGCATTGAGCAGAGCCCTGAGGAAGCTTTTCAAAGACACGGACACACAATGTTCTGGTTCTCAGCCAGGTGGGAACCCTCGAGGCCCAAGGACCAGGGAGAGAGGGCCCAAGTGGGGCTGAGGGCCGTGGAGCCCTGTTTGGCCACTGGGGGTCCTCGGGTCACAGCAGGGATCGATCTCCCTTTTATAGTCTTCAGTGATCCAGGTTTCAGGGCACCTCATGGTTTAGTAGAAAACAGACTAAAATCCTCCAGGGAAGGAGTTCCAAATCACCCTGGGATCACCTCACACCCTTCTCCAGCACCCAAGCTTATACCAGGAGGGCACTGCCTGGCACCCGGGCCTCTCTCTTTCATCCTGTAAGAACAGAGGGATCTGGCCCTTCAAACAATGTAGTCTCAAGGGCAAAAACAACTTTTCTCAGGAGCACCAAATCACAGCGTGGGCGTTCTAGAACAGGGATTCCCACCCGGGAGCCCTTCACTGCCTCACCAGCAGAGAGGACCCTAGCTAGTCCTAGAGTGCAGAAGACAGGATTCAGGCCACAGGGGAAAACTGAAACTCTCCCTCCCCTTTTGTCTTGGCTTGCAGCTGGTCCCTGAGGCCAGGATGATCAACTCAGGTGAAGAGAGCTCCACTGACACAATTAGCGCATTGAAAAGTCAGGGAAAGGGATGAGGGGTGCTTAATTATAGCGTCTCCACAAATCACAGAAGATTTGTAAATGGGGTCCAGGAGGGAAACCTGGAGGTCTTGGGTGGGGACAAGGTCGGAAACCACAGGTTTAGATAGCAGAGGACTTAGAAGACACCAGTGACTCCAACCACCCAAGGCAAGTGGTCCGTGGAAACCATCTCCTGGCCTCCCTGTTGGGGAGGGACTGCTCCAGAAGAACCCTCTCGGGCCTCACACCCACTCTCCATCCCCTGGGCGTTGGCTTGCTCAATCATCTGGGGTCACTTACATATTAATCATAGCATCTCCTAGTGGGCATCTGACCTTCAGCCACTGTGCTCCCCAAATTCGACCTGTGAACTTCAGCAGAAAGGACATCTGCTGTGGGGGAGATACCTCCTTGGAGAGGTTTCCCTCATTAAACAAAAGAAAAGCTCTTAAGTGGACAAGGGGATAAGAACCCACGCAGTTGCCTCAAGAAAACAAAACGTGCCTTTGAATGTTCTATGCGGCTGTCTATTCCCTAAGTGTTTGTACAGTAAAGGGTTGGCTACATGTATGCAAATTTACTTACTCAAAAGAAAAGCCATCAGGTCTAAAAAGAAACAAAAATACTATTTAATAAAATAGGTACACACTAATTTGAGTAAGGTTTCAGGGCCATACCGATGTTCCTACGGTACTTTCGGAGGGGGCCAGCACTCACTCACTCCCTCCACAAACATTGAACATCGTTAAGCAACTGGGGACTTCCTCAGAGAGAGCATCAGGCAAAGTCCTCTTTGAAACCACGGAGAGTACCTCCAGACACTTAGCCATCTTGCTCAAAGGAGCCAAGGAGGCTGGAGGAAAAAGGTGAAAGGTAGCACTTGGCTTTAAGCCTCTTCCTTTTCCCTTGATGTGGCACAGTTTGGGGAGAGAAAGGGGGTGGGGGTGCCTCAGCAGGGCTGGAGGCTCCCTCCTGCTTGCGATCCAGGAAGGAAAATAAAAGCAAAACGAAACAAAACAAAACAAAACAAAACAAAACCCCACTGTGGGGCCACCTAGACTTGGATCTTTCATTTCCATCCCTTTCCACAAAGAGGACCCCTTCTTCCAGGAGAATAGCAGTTGGCCCCTCGATGTGCCGGGAACGGACACCAAGTTTAGCCAGAGGAAGAGGAGCCCAGGAGGCCTTACTGGTAGTCGGTAGAGCTGCCTTTCCGTTTGCGGTTACAATCCATGCCACTGGAGCCGAGGGGGCTGGAAAGCAGGTCGGTGGGGCCCGGGGACATGAAGTCACTGATTGTCGAAGAAATGTCCATTCTCTGGTCAGCCATTGGAGGTCTGGAACTGGTACAAGGAGGCACAAAGGTGATTTCTACATGCTCTTCTACTATGGTGGAAGGCCAAGGTGGTCCTGTGGAGGGTCGGGCTACTGGTCTACCATACGAACCCATCTCCCCCACCCCCGCCAGCTGGAATAGGGACACGGCGGGATGGAGAGAGCAGCTGACATGCTTTAGGGGTTAACATAGATAATGTAGGTTAACCTGTTCATATTGCCTGTTTCTTTAAGATTTTATTTATTTATTTGAGAGAGAGAGTGCGCACACAGTGGGGAGTGGGGGGAGCAGCAGAGGGAGAGGGAGAAGCAGGTTCCCATGGGGCTCGATCCCAGGACCCTGGGATCATGACCTGAGCTGAAGGCAGACGCTTAACCGACTGAGCTACCCAGGCACCCCCCTGCTCATATTTCTGATGAAGACCCAAAGTTCAGAGCAACTGGGTAGCTTCTCCTGGGTCCCCATCCCAGGGCATGCAAGAATAATTGCAGAACCCAAGGCTCGAGGACTTAGAGCCCAGTGGTCCTCCCATGGAGAAGACCAGATACTCTCTGACAGTTCTAATTTTATTTTCTTCCAGTCCATAAAATAAATAGGATTTACTGGTTATCTTTGTGTTTTTGTTACAACTTCTGTAAAAGTCCCAGAAAAGCAGAAAATATCCTTTCTCAGACCATGAGTCCCTCTCGGGAGTCAGGAAAATATGGTCCCTGTCTAGCATGGGGCCATGAAAAGTCTGTCTTGTCTTCCCTGGCTAGCCCTTGTGCCCAGCATCCCCTGCCAGGAAAACCTGCATAAAGGACATAAAGACATTGTAGACCAACTGGCACATTTCAGGAATTCACATTTTATAAGCGTGTAGTCAGCTGGCCCAAAAAAGAGACTGCCAAGTACCTTGCAAGGGACTTCGACTCCAAACCAAGTGGAAGAGGGCCACGCTCTGCCCACGGACGGGGTCCCAGGTCCACACCACGTGACTGGGGCTGTCACTCCCTCTCTCTGGGCCCAAGTTCCTTCATCTGCAAAGCAAGAAGGGGACTGTGATCTCCGCTCGCTGATTACAGTTCCGCCCACAGACGAGTGCACTAGGGTCAGGTGTGGGCCAACTTTTTCCTTTCACAGCCACTGCTGGAGGGAGAATCTCAGTGCTCTAACTCCAGGCACTAGAGCTATTATCGCTCAGTCTAAATGTCTAAAAGCAGGACAAAAGGGAACACACGTGGTAGGTCTTGGTACATTCTGGAACACCGTGCTGCCAAAAAGCTCCAATAATTTATATTCCCAACAAGAGCTCCTATCAATCTGAAGGAAAGGACAAAACCCCATTGGTTTTTACTTGCATTTTTAAATGATTACGGATGCTGTCCCTATGTTTATAGGCATTTCTCTGGTTTCCTTTGTGCCCACTCATGTCCTGTTTTTCTACCACATTTTCTTCAGTATGGACGGGCCTCCTAACTCATGTTCACCTGCGCACCTGAACCTGGGGGGAGAAAAGCACACAATGAACTCGCTGCTCTCACTTGCCACCCACGACCTCGCACACCTCCAACACCAGCGCCACCCGGAGATCCTCGACTCCCCTGCTCGCTTTATTCCCCTCTCCATGACCAAGAACACCACACCCTCGCTCTTCTCCTCAAGCCCCCAACAGCTCTCCATCCCAACTCTCAGCAGATACTTGGCTTTCTACTCCACTGAGAAAAGGGAGCACATCCACCAGCCCGCCTAGCTGCTGCTGGTAGGAATTCTGCTCCTCCAACAGGTGGGGACGCCATCGTCTCACTCCTGAAAGACCATCACCCCGGAATTCTCTCCCTGCCACTCATCCAGCACCTTCCACTTTCCCCACCCTGCTAGATCACCCTCATTTGGATACAAACAACTCATTTGGGGGGGAAAATCACAAGTATTTCTGAACTCCATTCCCTTCTGGTCAGTATCCCCATTTCTCTGTTTCCAATTCTTTTCCCCTTACGCAGTATAAGCCAACTCAAATCAGGCTTTTGTCTTCATCATTCCAACAGAACAGCCCCCGTTACGCTCCCCAGTGAGATACTCATTGCTAAATCCAGTGGCTGATTCTCCATTCCCTCCCTACTTGCCCCATCCCAACACCTGATAGAGCTGATCGGCCCCTCTTGTCTCTTGGCTTTGGAGAGCCGACCCTCTCATTGACCCCTTCATCTCGGTGGCCACCCTTTCCACACCGGCCTCTTTTGCAGGCTCGTCCCCCTCCCTCACCTCTACATCAGAGTCCTGAAGGTGTCCTCAGACCTTCTCTGTGTACAGCCACTCCCTAAGAGATTGGTCCAGCTTCATTGCCTCCAATAGGATCAAGGCTCGGAGAACTCCCCAACTTCTACTTCCAGCCTGGACCACTCCTGAATGTCAAACTTAGAGGACCACTTCCCTGAGGTCTCCCTTTGAGTATACAATAAAGACCTCCAACTAAATCAATCCAAACCCCTGGTTGTCCCCAAGCCAAGCCCCTTAGTGATGCTCACATCGATGAGTGGAACTTCTGAATGCTCAGGCCCCAATACTAGAAGTCATCCCGACTCCTTGCTTCCTTTTACAACCTGCAGCCAATCCATCAAAAGATCCCACCAGCTCAACATTTACAAAGACATCCAAGTTTAACCACTGTTCTCCTTTCTCCTTCCTATTTCTTCTCCAACGTTGCTTCCACAGTGAAGTGATACTCTCTGAATATCGTATGCTGCAACTCCCCATCCCTGCTTCACTTTTTCCCATGGCCCCTGACCCATAATCGACTTATTTACTAGCCTTCTGTCCATTAGACTATGAGCATCAGAAGAGCAGGGACTCAGTTTAGTTCACTGCTTGCACCGTAGTAGCCGAGAACGTTTTCTAGCATATGGTAAGTACTCAATAAATAGGTGTTGAATGAGTAAGTTTGTACATTAGGAATAGTCATTCCTTGTTTGTCACAGATGTCATCAATACCCTCCCCCATTTGCCTTTTAACTTGGCTTTCAGTATTTATATGTGATACTAAAAGTGAGATTTTTTTTAAAAGCCTTTTTTTCACCCCAAAATAGAAATATCCTAATATTTTTATAATGTTATTTATATAGCTCTTAATCCATTTGGAAATTACTTTTGGTATACTACCTAAGGTTGGAGACTTCTTTCCCTCCAGTGGATAGATAACCATGCCAACACATTCACTAGACCAGACATTCTGTTACCAGTCAGTTGAAATGCCACCTTTATTGATTATTATCTATTTTTGGACTTCCTATTCTCTTCCTTTGATCTAGTTACTTCCAATCCAGTACCACACTATCTGTCACTGTGGCCTCATAATACATTCTACTATTAGGTAGAACAAACCCTTGTCCTCTTAGGACTTTTCACTTTCAGAAATTTCCTGGTTATTCCAATTTATACTTTGAGAAGCATTTGATCACATCAAAGGCACGGATGGGTGGCTGCTAGAAGTTATAATGACGGACATGAAGAGAAGCAGATGAGGGAGGAGCACAGAGCCCTCCCCTCGAGGTCTTGGCGAGCCTCTGGGCCACCTGACAGACACAGGGAGCCACCTCTGGCCCCCACTCTCTCTTTTTGACCAGCTAGACTGTTGCACGAGGTAGACTTGTCCCAACTGTTGGGCTGTGGGGAGAAACCACACTTCCTGAAAGAAGTACCATGGGGGCTGCCAATGATAGCAGGTGGGGCTGGGGGTGTGATTTTATTACCTGAAGTTAGAGTTCTTGAAGCTCAGATCCACCTTGGGAGGAGCAAGGGGCCACTGGACTGATGGGTCACCTCAGAGCGATTTTCATGGTTTGTCGTTTCCTTTCAGGCAGTCAACGTCTTCTAGAAACCTACAGTGGGGCCCACAAGAAAAGAAAGCCCACACAGGTCACTTGTGGGGAGGCACACGGCACAATCTCCTGTTAGCTAAGGGAGAGGCTCAGTGGGGAGAGGCTTGCCAGCCCAGCTCATCTAGGACAAACAAGGCTTTTGAAATGATTAAACATGGATTCCTGGATGTGGTCTTAAGAGAAAGAAGATAATTGGACTTTTCATTTCTCCTACCGGGCCAGGCAATAAAATTATAGTGAGCACTTACTGAGTGTGTGCCTCGCGTCAGGCTCCATTCTGACTGTGTTATGGAGATTCACTTACTGAGGCCTGAAAATAATTCTGAGGTAGATACTCTGGTTTTTTTTTCACTGGATGAGAAGACAGAGAGAAACTCAAGGATGACACTTGTCAAGGTCACATGGTGAGAGGACGCAGGGGTTCCAGAAGCCACATCAAGGTCAAGCAGAGCCACAGGCTCTCCCAAGTGAGCCGCTGTCCAAAGGCGGACAACCAGCCCCGGAAAACAGGTCTCCGGGAAGCGTTAAGCAAGAACACGCGTACGCAGGGCCCGTCTCTAAGACCGCTGGAGGCACAGTAAGACGCTTGGAGATGGTGTCCGGGAAGCTCAAGTACAGGGCGGGCACCCAGAGCGAAGGGGAGTCAGTGGTGAGAAGGCGCTTGAGTTACAATGGCCTGTGACCCTGCCTTCTCCTGCTGGCAGGACAGGGGTCTCTGCCCGGCTTCAGGCTTCACGGGAGGCTGCACCCACCCTTCTACTCCCTCCTGATTCTGCCTTGAGAGGGCGAGACTCAGACTGTGAATGGGCCTTTCCTGACCTTTCTGATAAAAAGCAAAACTACTGGGGTTGCCCCTTCCGCTGGCTCCTTCTTGCAGCCCTTGGACTACCTGGGGCTTGATCATTACAGAGGTCTTCAAATCCGTGTCCAGGACAACGGCTACTCTTGTCCTCCCAGTTTACTCCTCTGTGCAGTCCGATTCAGACACCCTTGCTGTCTGACTCTGGGAGCCAGTGTGTACACGTGCAAAATCATGACAGCATCTTGGACTTCCAGTCCCCAAGCCCCACACCCCACACAGACACCCCACAGACATCAAGTCCCCAGGGCAGTGCTGCCCGAGCACTTATCATATGTCCTTCCACCTTGATCTGCCTCCCCACAGAGGCCCCACGCTCTTCTCCAGCCCCCAGACCAGCCATCCAGAACCCACGTGGGTGCCCTCTCCTTCCCTCACTCCACCACCCCTCTGATGGACGGATCTAGCCACTCCCCTCTGTTCCCTGGCCACTGCCTCCATCCAGGCTGCTCTCCCCCAAGACTCACCCCTCCACACTCCAGTCACAGACAGGACACCCCCTTGTTTAAAACACTTCCACGGCTTTACTGCTCTGCCCCGAGCCTTCCAGCAGCGCCCTGCCAGGCAACATCAAACCTCCACAGTGGGCCTGCTCGCCTTGCGTCCTGTCCTGTCTTGCCCTGCTCTGCACATCCGGTGCCAAAAGCACTAGGCCACCCGAGTACTTAAGTTCTCCAGAGCACGTGGCCTCAACTGTGCCCACGCTGCTTTGCAGGTGCAGCTCCCTTGACCCACTGGTCACCTGATGGAACTCCTGCTTTCCTTTCAAGTGCTTTCAGGTGGCATCTCCTCAGAGAAGCCTTCTGAGCCTTCTCCTTACACCTGTGGCCCTTCCACCCTCCGCCCCATGATCTCACTATTAGGGGGCTCCCGGGATCACACCTCACTCACTGTCCCCCCGGCTTCTCTGAAACTTGGACGAAGCTTCTCGGTACCAAACTCCATATGAAATTTCTTATTCGGACCAATTGTTCCAATACTCAAATTTACTTTATAGAAATAATGAATGTTAGCATAAACTTTGGCATTATATCTTGCAAAATAAAAATCAGAAGGCCTTGGCTGGCTTCGATCTCCCTGCTCACGGGGAGTCTGCTCTCCCTCTTCCCCTTCCCCCACTTGTGCTCTCCCTCTCGCTCTCTCTCAAATAAATAAGTAAAATATTAAAAAAAAAAAAATCAGAAGTCCTTTCTTACATGCATGGAGCAAGTAAGGAAGCTGAATCAGCTGTGACAAGTATTTCTGGAAATCTCTTTTCTCTCCAAGAAGGTGTAAGACAATGAATGAAACAACCAAAGGGAAAAAAACCCACCTCTGTGCTATTTCCAAAAGAGAACTGAGCCCAGGGAGGGGGCTCCAAGAGACCACAGGTAACTGGGAGAGGGGTCCTTGCCAGGGGGAGCTTAGGGCCAGCCCTGGTGCTGCCATCCAGGTGACACATAGTGAAGACACTCGTGGGAGAGCCTGGCCTGTGTTCTTGGAATCGGGGGCCACAAGTGTACTCACTTCTGAACTAGAGGCTCCCTGGATGTCAGAAGCAAGGCACGAAGGGACTTGTGCAGTGTGCTTGGGAGAGCTTGGTGGTCCCCTTGGTTCCCCCTCAGTCCCCTCATTCTCCTTGGAGCTCAAGAAGAAGAGTCTCCGGGGCTTCACACAGAGGAGCACGGGGGCTAGAAGAGAAGTCCCAGCCCCGCTGCCCCTGCAGCTGAGGAGGGTGAGACACAGCTGCCCCTCTGAGCAGAGCAGGGTGAGGCTGAGCAGCCCTTGAGAAACCCCCACGTGTCCCCTACAGGACGATGACCACACTGAAGCCCACCGAACGCAGACCGGTGTCTCTCTCTGCTGTCCCTCCTCCCTGACCCGGCACCCCAAAATGCTACAGGAAGCGGAGGGAGCATGTAGACTGCATTACGGTTCACATGGTTAGCTGCCCCTCCCCGCAGGGACAGTCTGCAGGACAACGCCCCCAGTCAGGCCATGTGACTGGCTTAGACTGACGAATATGAGCGGAAGGGACAGCCTCCACTTTTGAACAGAACTTTTCCCCTGAGTTCCTTTGTGCCGAGACTGGCAACTTCCAGATAGAGACTCCTCCTTTGGACGAGGTCCCGGATGGAGAGAGCAGCACGAGGAAGAAAGAAACCTTTGCTTCTATCGCCCAATGAGATGGTGATGGTGTGTGTTCTAGGATGACAGGCTCTTCTGTCTGCCTCAGACCTTCCCACTTGGGCACTGGAAGTCCCGCCTCCCAGAAAACCCCTTTGTCCCTGACAAACCAGGACAGTCGGTCACCTAGGTCCTCCAGTCGTATCTATCCTTCATCCTAAGCTGACTGACACGGGCAGGAGGGAGGAAGCACAGGTGGGATGAAGGAGACACAGTCGGAGCAGAGCCCCTGATCTGGGAGGAGGGAAAGGGGACAGAGGTTTTAGCTTCACGATAACCTTCACTCATTTTAGCTTCATGATAACCTACCCTTGATGGTGCTCTTCACCCCAACTTTCCAGGTAAGGGCCGAGGAGGCAAAGCTATCTTGCTCCAGATGACCCGGCTAGCCGGTGGGGACTGCGACCCAAGTGGCCCTGGGCGGGTTCTCTGGGTGGGTTCTCCTACCACACCACTGCCAGTCCCGCCTTCAAGACCACCCCACACAGTAAAATATAACACCCCCCCCCCACACGAGCCTACCTGGGGAAGGCATGAGGGGAAAGAAGAAAAAGTAATCCTAGTTCAGGAGAGCCACAGAACCTGAGCCGACATGTTGTCCCTGGGCTTCCTGGCAGGCGGGGCAGAGAAGGAAATGTACAGCCTCACACTCCCTGGCAAGCATATCCGATCAGTTCTCGGGGACAGACTGAGTAGGCAGGGCAGTCGGTCGGGGAGGCTCTCTTAACAGGACCTGGGGAAACCAGCCCTACGAAAGAACAGAGCGCTTCCCCTTTTAAAATGGGACCTCAGTGAAAGGCTGTCCCCCTCTTTCCCCTACCTTCAGGTGTGACAGCTTGTGAAGCCCCGGGATGTCATGGGGGCAGTGGCTTTTGATGTTGTGGCTCCATAAAGGGGCATGGCTTGGAAAATATGGAGGCTTATGAGTGGGCACCCCGATGACCCTGTCTCCTAGCTGTCTGCTTATTGATCTGCTTCCCCCCAGTAAGGGGCTCCTGTGTGCCCATTGCTGCATCCCACAACCTTCACGGGCTGGCCCTGGGCACAGGTGTGTTCGGGAAGTACTTTCCCTCCCCGGCCTTGAGAGCCACGGCAGGTGGCCCTTGGCCCCCTCCTCCACTTTCTCCGCTTTGTGCTGCTGGTGCCCAGCTCCGGGTTTACTGAGGGAATGGGTGAGGAGACACTCTGGTCTGTGCAGGCAGTGGTGGTCTCTGAGCAGAGCCAAGAGGCTAGAGGGGGCTCTGTATCCTCTGCAAGTCTACCTTTGCCCTCCACAGTCACTCTGACAGCCTGTGGGGGGTTCAGCTGTCTTGTTTTGCAGCAGATGCACCTAGAGAATGTTCTCCCAGAGAGATCAGGTGCCCTGCACCTAAGGTAACTGGTGTTTGCATCGGGATCACTGAACAAGCGTTTCTCTAGCCCCCAGGGCACTGGGGACAGAGGGAGGAATCCATAGTCCTAATGTCCAAGATTCCCTCAATCTAGTTAGACAGACAGGGTCTAAATCAAGATGTGACAGCATGCTCACTGCGCTAGGAAGGGCCACACTTACGGTGGCTCTGAGCAGCACGCTGCCCAAGTCCAGGATGCGCCCCTGCTCTCGCTAAGTGGACGAGATTTGCGGCGCCATTCTGACAAATTACCAGCAGGTGGCAGTCAAGTGTCTCGAGGAAGGAGGGCCCTTCCTGGCTGTGAAACATAGGTAAGGTACACGAGCAGAGTGAAGGAGAAAATACTCAGCTTATTGATTAGCAGGTGTGTGCGTGGTGAGGGTAAGGGGAGGAGAAAGAACGAGGGAGGCGGAGAGGCTTGAATCAGGTGCTGCAGATGTCTCCCTGGCAGACTGGGTGGTGGGAAGTCCGTTCTGAGCCAGGGAGAGAAGCCCTATTTGTGGTCCTTGTGTCCCCGGTCCTCCAGGCAGCTGGAGACGCTTGGGACTCCCAAAATCAAACACAAAGCAAGGAGGCTGCATTTG